CCATCATTGTCTCCTGCGGTCAAGGCAAACCCCTGAATAACCCCCACAGTAACTAACACCATCATTGTCTCCCGTGATCGTGTCAAAGTTATGAACATCTCCTGCGGTCGTGTAGATATTATCGTTGTCTTCACGGATAAATTCTGATCACCTCCTGGAGCCATGTAGATATCATCCTCGTTTCCCACGGTCACGGACAAGTCATCATCGCCTCCTACGATCGTGGTAATATTTTGATCAATTTACGCGGTTGTGTAGACATTGTCATTGTTTCCCGCGGTTACAGCCAAAAAACGGAATTAGCAATCCCGCAACGGAACATCAGCAACATCTTCCACGCTCTCGCGGCAAAATATTGTCCATTTCCTGCGGTCGTGTGGACATCATCATTGCCTCCTGCGGTCACGGCAAACCCTTGAATAATCCCCGCGGTAACAGAACATCATCATCGTCTTTGCCGATCGCAGCAAAGTTTTGACATTACATGCAGTAAAAAAATATATATATAAAAATGACCGAGGGGGGCGGTCGCCCCCTTCGCCCCCCTCTGGATCCGCCACTATATTCGATATGCAATTTAAATCGAATAATTTTACAGTTAAACATCAATTGTGTCGATTTAAAAAACACTGAATCCGATTCACACACACACTGGTTTTGAGTATTGTAGCTACATACTGTTTATGACAATTAGATTGAGGTATCTGCAATCCTAAAATGCTATTGGAAGGGAAGGAAACAGGTCCGCGACGTAGGAAGTGGTAAGGAAGTAGTAAAGGCGAGCTGTTCGGGGTATGGGATCTGTTTATGACCATTAGATTAAGGTATTTGCAATCCTAAAATGCTATGGGAAGGGAGGAAAACAGGTCCGCGATGTAGGAAGTGGTGAAGGAAATAGTCAAGGCAGGTCTGGAGTGTGGAAACTGTTTATGACTATTAGATTATGGTATCAAAATTCCTAAAATGCTTTGGGACGGGAGAAAACAGGTCCGCGATGTACGAAGTGGTGAAGGAAGTAGTCAAGGCGAGCTGTCCGGTGTGTGGGATCTGTTTATGACCAATAGATTAAGGTATTTGCATTCTAATAATGCTAAGGGAAGGAAGGTAAACAGGTCCGTGACGTAGGAAGTGATGAAGGAAGCAGTAAAGGCGAGTTTTTCGGAGTGTGGGAACTGTTTATGACGATTAGATTAAGGTATCTTGGTATCTACAATCTTAAAATTCTATGGGAAGAGAGGGAAACAGGTCTGCGACGTAAGAAGAGGTGAAGGAAGTAGTAAGGTGAGTAGTGTGGAGTTTGGGAACTGGAAACCGTTTGTAGCAGTTAGATTAATGTATCTGCAATGCTGAAATGCTATGAAAAGGGATGGAAGCATGGCCACGACATAGAAAATGGTGAAAGAAGTAGTAAAGGCTAGCAGTGCGGAATGTGGGCAATGTTTGTGGCAATTAGATTAACGTATCTAAAATACTAAAATGCTATGGAAAGTGATGAAAACAGGTCCACGATGTAGTGATGTAGCTTAGGAAGTAGTAAAGTATGAACATATTGTGAGAACCGTCTGTGGCAGTTAGATTAAATGTTTAGTTAGATGCTATGAAAAGGGAAGGAAACCGGCCCCACGACGTAGGAAGTAGTGAAGGAAGTAGTAAAAGCTGGCAGTGCAGAGTGAGGGAACCGTTTGGGCAGTTAGATAAATGTATCTAATACTTAAATGCTATGAGAAGGGATGGAAACAGGTCTATGACGTAGGAAATGGTGAAGGAAGTAGTAAGGCTTGCAGTGCAGAGTGTGGGAAGTGTATTTGGCAATTACATTAATTTATCTGCAATCCTAAAATGCTATGGGAAGAGAGGGAAACAGGTCCACGACGTAGGGGATGGTGAAGGAAGTAGTAAAGGTGGGCAGTGTTGAGTGTGGGAATGGATTAATGTATCTGCAATGCTAAAATGCTATGGGAAGAGACTGTAGACTGTAGGTTAAAATGATTATGAAGCACGAATCGTTACATATTTCGATACGTATTCAATAGTTAACAATAGAAATTTACAACTGAGTTGACAACAGCTGAGTTTTACTCCATAGAGGCTAAAAACAAATTTTATTCCCTAAAGAGTAAAAATGCTACTTTAGACCCGCAAAGCATGCACCAATGACGACTGTTTTTACTGCAGTATGACAAAAACAATATAATATGAACCCTTGATGACTCCGCTCAATTTTGTGGATGCCTCTGCGAACACCACCTAGTTTAACCTTGTCCATTTTTATTTTAACCCTGGCCATAAGTTTAACATGGGAATGGAATGTCCTAATTCCATCAATAGTCAAAGAGTGCATCATGTGTTTATCTTTAAAACAGTACAAAGTACTCATAATTTAACCTTTTGTTAGTTTCACACAAGTAAGATAAAGTATAAGATAAGATATAAAGGATAAGATTAAAGTAAAAGATGAACACATGCAGGTATCTTAATTAGTAATTTGCTCCATGATAAGAAAATTAAAAAGACACATCCAGGATTAAATTTTTATTTGATATAGCTGAAACACGATTATTTGATTCGGGCATTTCATTAAATGTGGCCTTGATCCGAGTGGTCTACAATTACCAGAGCATGTCAACTGTGTTGCCCTTCCGACTAAGCAAACATCAAACAGAACGTCAGCAACGAATCTAGGTCAAATTACATTCTTTCTGTCCCTTGTACACACAAAACAATTTGACTTCTGTTAAAACTGCTTAGTTGAAGTTGTGTTTCAACATCTGAAGTCATTTAAGTTTTATTTTTTTTAACAATTTGTTATTTGTTTAATGTAATGTGGCCGAAATGTCGGTAGTTTCTGTACATATAGTGTACATAGCCAACTGACACGGTCAACCCCAAAGACCGAGATTGTGTATATATGAGTGACCACCGTGGAAGTTTATCCATTAAGATATTTGTTATTTGTTTGATAACAAATAAAGTTCTATGAAAAATTTAAATCATTTTACCAGATATTTTTTACCATCAATTTTTTAATGATTGATTTTAAATGGCAACATCTTTACATAATTGTGCATGGCAAAGAGGATAATAAACCAAAATACCCCTGCCGCAGCAAACCTGCCAACTAAGCAAATTTCCAGTTGCCTGAATTGATCTTCAATTAAATTTATTTAATTAACATTAGGTTTTATGAGTACATAGGCTTGCTGCTACATGGAGGGTAAAAAAGTGTTGTTTTTTAGTAAAATATTAATAACTTTAGTATAAAATAAATAAAATTACCAAGTTTCATCAAAATATATCCATAAACAAACATTTACAATATTCTCCATAAGAATAACATGGGAATTTTATATTTACAATTTTTTTAATTTTATCTTTTACCAATTACCGTACAAAAACACTTTGATATAATAAATTATTTTTTTTAAGCTCTTAAAAAAGATCTAAAGATAAATTGGGAAATTTTGTGTTTTGAGGGTCAAAAATGAGAAAAACAATTTTTACCCCATAAAACCCCCCGTAAAACCCCGTTCCCATGGTCCGATCATGCTGGTTCGCTAGCTCATTCAAGTTTATCCCGCCTTACACCTTTAAACCAAATTTCATCAAAATTATCAGCTTTGACCATCGATTCGACCATTCCACTTCAGTAACCAATAGTCAATGGTTTCAGTTACAGTTGTATTATTTACTTGTTTTTGTATTAGATGTAAACATTGATTTTGGGATATACTGAAGTTCTATCCATTGCCAAGGATGCAACATACTCCAAATTTCATTGTATCGCAGCTCACAATAAATTTCTACTATGAAATTTTGTTTTTTCCTACTGTGTCCTCCCCCCTCCTACCTTATATACAGAGAGCAGGAATTCCAATAGTAAGTCTATTATAGTTCCTCCAACTCAATTGCACAGAACATAAGTAATCCTTCAAATATTAATATCTTTATTTCAACTCATATGCCATTGCTTTTTTAAAATTGTAAATAACTTAAAGGAGCAGCAGTCTGAAATGATAGTGACAAAATTTAATTTATTTAAGCGATCTTTCTTCCCTAGAGGATGTCCGGAAAACATTGAATCAGTTAGAGAAACGATTGCTAGAAGTCCCGGTGGATCTGCCCGATGGAATAGCATAGCACTTGGACTTTCCACGCCAATGATGAGACAAATTTTGCATAAATATCTTAACATGCATCCGTACAAAATTCAGGTTGTGCAAGCCTTGAATCTCTGCGACTTTCAATCTTGTATTACTTTTTATGAGCAGCTAATGGAAGATAACCTAGAGCTAATTCACAACCTGTGGATGAGCGATGACGATCATTTCCACCAGGATATGTCAATAGGCAAAATTTTAGATATTGGTCTGCCAGGAACCCACAAGCACTTCACGAACAGACAGTCTTGACTCTTATTTTAAGTGAGTGAATACATAATTTTACACATACATGTAAAATTAAAACTTATACTATTTTAGTTATATGGTGGGTTTCTCCCTGTGGCATAATAGGCACCTACTTCTTTGAAAATGATACTGAAAATGCTGTCACAGTTAATGCTCAACGCTACCTACGCTTGTTTTTTTACTGCCACAACTTTGACGTTTTCCAGCAATTGCTGAATCTTATTTTCAACAACATGGAGTAACAAGTCACACTGTAAGAGTGTGTCCATAAATTTTCTCTCATTAATCTTCCCGAATCACCTCCATCTCAAGGAATGGAGGTATTGCCTGGCCTCCTTGATCCTCCAAACTCAGCTCCTGTGATTTTTTTGTGGGGTTATTTTAAGACTAGACACTGAATATTATTTTTAAGACTTGAAACTTTTGTTGTTGTTTTTACATAAACTTCCACTCATTTACTCTGTTTTTTAATCAATAAATTAATGTTATGATGTTTGAACTTTTTTTATGCCTTCCGAAAAATTCCCCGTTTTACTGACTCACCCTGTACATGAATATTCTTTGATTTTATTAGTTCATGAAATTAATTTACAGACTAGAGGTGGACAAGCTAAGACTCATAGTTCGGCACATTATACAGTTCATTACTATTCGCCAGTACCCTCCGTCCGACAAATCTCTTCCTCCAATGTCCAAAAGCCGCTGGTGGATTCCAACCGGTACCAAAGTACTGGCACTTATTAGTAAGTAAAAGCAAATTACAATATTAATATAATGTGCTATTTTTTTACTTGTAAATTTAATAAATTGTGCATAGCATTAAAGGAAAAATCTTGTGGAATTTTTCGTGTACCAAAAACCAACTCAACTCAGTTTCCCAACTTTTCATACTGTGTAATCACAAGCCAAGAAATCAACATTTACTTCAAATTTAAAAACATATTTACATTTAGATTCATATGATTTCAACTAAATCGTATAATATAGGGTGGCTGAAAAGTCTGTACCAGTACCTAATTTTAAATGTTCATCACCAAACCCCCATATGGTTTTCGTAGCTCGTATTGTCAGCTGATTGAAGCTAATTTAATGCCATTGATGGTAGGTAGTTTAGTTCATATTGTAAACTGATTGAAGCTAATTTAATGCCATTGATGGTAGTTTAGTTCATATTGTAAACTGATTGAAACTTCTATATGGATGGTGTTTTATGTATTGAGGAAAGGACAAAAATTGCTTCACAATATGAAGTGTAGAAGTCTATTATTCAGATCCAGAGGTGGTGGAGAGTAGAGAATGGAATAAATGCCTCTCTTAAGTGGTGGGGGAGTTCATGAAAAATCTTTAATTATTAACAAAAATACTGAAACCTTTTTCTGGATGCTACCTGTAAACATTGAAACAAAAACATGGGATGGCATTTTTTCACCCCCTGTGGCGGAGGGGGTGAATTTCACGTTTTACAAGGGTTTACTAGATCATGTACGGATTAAAACCCATAAAAGATAATTGATAACTTTTTGTTTCTAAGTGTTTTTTAAAGTACAGTAGAACTCCAATTATCCGAACTCCAATTAACCGAATCTCCAATTATCCGAATCGCTTATTACAACAATTTTAAAAACGTAAAGCTACAGTAATAAGTTTTGCAAAATATCAAAGAATTGTTATTAAACACATTTAGCCAATTTTGGACTTTGATGGAACACTATTGACTTAATAACATGTATAGAACACTTGTACTATGAGCATTGTAAACTGTAAAAATGTTCTGATTTAAATTATTATTAATTAAAAGTTTACTTAGTACCGAAAATTTGGATTTTTCTTTCAAATTCCTGGAATTCCGGTAAAACTCTGATTATCCGAATTTTTGATTATCCGAATGGGGTCTGGTCCCTATTGATTCGGATAATCGGAGTTCTACTGTATTCTCTATGATCTGTAGGATGGGTTTTGTTTGAATACGACAATTAATGGACCCATTTTTAATGTTTTAATTGGGTTTTTTTTGTAGAAAATTAACAAAAAAATGTTATTAAAATATGTTCTGTTAGGATTTCCTTCAAATCCATCCTACAGATCATAGGATTGAACAAGCTGAACAAAATAAACAAAAAATCATCTCTCTATCTCTACTAGAAGCAGAATCTAGGATCAAAAATACAGCTTTTGGGAATCCACAGAATCAGCTGTGACCTTTGTTGGAAAGCAGCTGTGGCCCCCGCTCTTCCAAAATAAATAAACAGCCAATATAAAATCTATATCTATAAAAGAGGAACTATGTATGTATGTATGTATGTATGTATGTATGTATGTATGTATGTATGTATATATGTATATACGTTATGGACTCCAAAACCGCTCGACAGATTGTAATGAAACTTTTAGGCATTATTAACCATCTTCCAAGGATGGTTTGTGATACCAATATAAAATTAAATATAGTTTTTCTACATGAATTAACCCTTAGAGTGCCAGGCGAGAAATAAAAGTAACGCTCAAAAAATGCCGATGATTTTTCCCGAAGGTCGCGCTAAAAATGCCGAGCGCGATCTGACGATTTTTAGGTTAAAATTTCGTAAAAATCTAATTTTCGATATTTCGACCAAACGAAAATTGATGTATCGCATCTAGTAACTTTCGACTCAATGTTAATATATGGGTTAAAAGAATCCGAGTATCCATTCGGTTGTTATGACATCTGTTCGATCATTACGAAACATCCGGTCAGCCGGACGTTGGCACTTTTGGCTCGTTCTAAAAACGTCCGGTCGGCCGGACGTCGGCACTTTTGGCTCGTTTTAAAAACGTCCGGTTCCCCGGACGTTGGCACTCAAAGGGTTAAATAGGTTATATGAAGATGAAATGAATATTTATAAAAATAACTAGGTTTTTGTCAAATTGTATAACTAAAATACTCAAAACAAAACGATCAAAGGTTGAAAAAAATTGGCATACATTATTAACTTAAAAAAGATTTTCCAAGGTAAATACAAAAAAAATATCAAAGCTGGAATAAACCTCGGATCTATAACACACTGGCTTTTGCGGATGATGTTGCATTAGATGCAGAATCAAAAGAGGACCTAGGTAAGCTTACTGAGATTATTATAAGGGAAGCAAATAAGATTGGACTTCCGAGAAAGAAATAAGTGAAGAGAAGTCGAAATATTTAAAAGTCGGAAGAACCCAAATTGAAGGAGCTGAACCTTTTAGGGTCAATAACCATAATTTTGAAAGAGTAAACAAATTTAAATACCATCATAGTCTCAGTTAACTGGAATAACGAAAGAGGAACAGAAATAGAAAAGAGACTGATTGCAGCAACCAAATGTTTCTGGGGCGTATCAAAAATATTTAGTTCAAAAATACTATCCAAAAACACAAAATTAAGAATCTATAAAACTTTAATTCAACCAGTCCTTTTATATGGTTCGGAAACCTGGACATTAACTAGAAATCATGAAAACAAACTTATCATTTTTGAGAACAAAATTTTGAGGAAGATTTTCGGACCTATAAATAAAGAAGGTATGTGGCGAATAAGAAAAAACCGAGAGCTCCGAGAACTGTACAATGAACCGGACATTGTAGCCATAGTGAAGAGTAGACGACTGAGATGGGCAGGCCATGTAGAAAGAAGGGAAGAAGAAAGTATGCTTAAGAAGATCGCCAATGGACAACCACGAGGCACTCGCCCGCTAGGAAGACCAAAGTTGAGATGGAGAGACCAAGTCCAGAAAGACCTACACAGAGTGGGGGCATCTCTTGACTTGGCGGCAGACCGGCAGCAGTGCAGGCAACTTGTTGGCGAGGCCAAAAACCTTCTTAGGTTTGAGTGGCCAAGGAGGTAAGGTAAGGTAAATACAAATTGTACGGTATTTTATGTTTTTAGATTTAAAATTTAATGGTAAACAAAAATATGTCAAAATAAAATTTTCAAAAAAATCAGTTTCTTTCATTAACTCCCTTAATGCAAGAACAATAAAAAAAATTGTCATAATGAACGGTTTGAAGGTGGCACTGTGAATAATGAAAATATTGTTCAAGATTGGCTCAATGTAAAATTCCTCGATAAAATTGATTTGATAAGGTAGTCCACATCACTGGCCTGCTCGTAGCCCAGACCTTACGCCCTGTGATTTCTTTTGATGGGGATGGGCAAAAGAAGAGGTTTACAGGAGGAATCCAAAGACTATGAATTTGAAGTTTCCATTTTAGATGTTCTTGGTAATGTTCCACAATACTTTATTCAATAACCTGTCCTAAATGTACCTGTTGGATTAAGAAAATGTGTTGATAATGCATGTGCATATATCGGGGTTTAATGTGTTCCATAATAAATGGTATTAATCAATGTTTAAATGTACATGCTTATTTGTTCTCTAGCACCATAAAAAGTCATGACAATTATTAATTAAAAATAGGTTGTGACTATTCAGGCACCCTGTATGTATACCTTATTTTCTTATTTTATACCCGAATAAGAGTGTTTTATTATGAATAATTTTTGGTTGAAAGCTAGACCTGATACACTACTATATGTTGACTATTCCAGACGCAGCCAACAATGGCAGTAGCCCTCCACTACTTGACTACACAGAGTTCTACAACTCAGCCCTCGACCACATAGACTTGATGCAAGACTACTACAATTGGCAGAGTCCACAGCGCAGCGGCCAGTTTGCCTATTGTCAGTATCCCTTTGTACTAAGCATCGTAGCCAAACGGATTATTCTCACCAAGGTAGGAAATGTAGCTAACTAAATACAACTTTCAAGCTGTTCAATAAATGTGATTGGATGTTATAGTGTGTTTAATGTACAGTTTGCTCCTATGAAATCGATGTATTATTTTCAAAATTGTTGAACTTTAGTAAAAATACACAAGTTTATTTACCTATGTACATTCTGAGATTCTTAGAACTGGGGAGATATGTGCTGGCAGATAGGTTAGTTAATTTATTGGGTATTCCAGTGGTTATAGTTATAGATCTGTCACTTTTGAACTCAATGTAGCTCCATTTATCCCTTGATTAATGATTATTTCTAACAGATTGCCACTAGTAAGGAATAAGACCAGAGCTTGAAGTGCACTCTTAAAAATGTTTGCTGAAATACCACAGATGCTGACATCAGACACAAAATATGTAACATAAACTTTACTTCAGAAGACATTGAGGCAACTCTGAATAATAAAAATCCAATCAAAAAGTAAAAAAATCTAAAAATTATATTTTTCCCCTTTTTTAAGGAAGGATTGCAAGCAATATTTGAGTGGATTGATTGTTTTTGTTTTTTTTTTAATAATGTACTTTAGGCTACTAACAGAGAAATTTAATTTGAAGTCCAAATCAACCTCTGCTCACATAGAAAGTTGCTATTTGACAGTTGTAGGAGGTTACCCTGAGGTGGTTGCAAGTTTGTGCCGTTTAAAACCAGACACATTGTATAACTTGGATCAGCTTAAGAAGATTTATTCTTTATGGTTTGTACATTGAAGAAAATATGACAAAAGCTCTTGCAGCTCAGCTTGGAAGAAATGACGACAGAATGTTGAATCCAAGTAAAAACAGATATTTTGGTCTTGATAATATATTTTCTTCATAGGATTCAGAGCAGCAGATGATTTTGACAGCTCGGCGATCTTTAGTGGCCAAAGTTGCACGACATCAAGCTCCTCAGATTGATATTTTCTTTCTCAATATTTTAGTCCGTCGCTCACATCTTGTCTGCGATTCACTTAATGAAGTAAGTTTTTGTTTATTCAATTTCCTTGGTCAGTCTCAAAGTAAATAAAATTATGTTTTCTTTAATAATCAATCAATATGTAAGAAATCAATTTTTTTAATGACCTCCCACAAAATATTAAATTGTAAAAAGACCACATTAAGTTTTTGAGACTATCGAAATCATGCTTGATTGAATCAACTTTTACTCTCTCCAACATTTTTTTCTTATAATAAAGAGGTTAGTTATAGTTTACTTATTAACATGGCGACTCTCCTATCTTGGTACTTTGTACCTTTTAAAATGTTTATGAGTGAATACAGATTTTGAACGCTTTGTAAATAATTAACATAATACAGAATATAGAAGTTTTGAATTTGAGTTCTAATTTGGCAGATAGCGAGTAAACAGAAGGATCTCAAGAAGAAACTGAAGGTATCGTTTGTGGGTGAGCCAGGGTTGGACATGGGCGGACTGACCAAGGAATGGTTCCTGCTGCTGATCAGGCAGATCTTCCACCCTGACTATGGCATGTTTGTCTACCATCCTCACTCTCGCAGTTACTGGTTCAGCACAGATCAGGTCTGACTCTACATTTAAACAAAACTAGCCAGCCCTTCAAAACGCTCCTCTAATTATTTCTTACGCTTAAAAAATAATTTTGAACTATAAACTCAAAATACCAGTCTAACTTATTAATTCCGCCCTCCCCGCCCCCGCAGCAAACCTGCAGACTAGGCAAAGTTCCATTTGCCTGATTAGATTTTGCATTAAATCCATTTTTATAACATTAGAGTGTTTTTTAGTAAAATATTAAGAGCTTAGTATGGTATAAATAATGCCAAAGTTTGATCAAAATATATCCATAACAGTTTACTTACTCTCCATCAGAATAGCATGGGTGTTTTAAATTTACAATTTTGAATTTTTTAACCGTAAAAAACACTTCAATGTACTTAATTATTTGTTTATTAAAGCTCTTTTAAATGGTTTAAAGAGAAATTTGTAAATTTTATGTTTTTTGATGGTCAAAAATGAGAAAAACCAATTTTTTCCCCATAAAACCCCCCACAATAGAACGTTCCTAAGCTCTGATCATGCTGGTTCCCGAACTCATTCAAGTTTTTCCTGCCCTATATCTTTAAGGGTGCGCTCTACCTCAGCTCGGGATTCAGTTGCTATGTTGCACCATTGGACAGTGCCGCCAGAAGCGCTTGCAGAGGTTTCTAAGATTACTGTTTTCGAATTAACCAATAATGATAGCTACGTACTCTAAACGGCTTATAGTAATGATACCAATCTATAGTTCTGCTTTTTTCAAATAACGTGTTTTCAATAAGTTAGGGCTAGTTGATAAGACCCTTTTTCATGTCCTACAAATCAAGTTTATAAGGTGTGTATTAAAAATAAATGAAATAATGAAACGCAGAACTATAGAAAATTTCATCCTCTTTAATATGAGACCTTAACTTTGATTCTACCTTCAATGTAGCAGGTGAAAACAGTAATCTTGCTAACCCTTGCATTGGGTTGCACGTCAGGGGTAGAGCGCACCCTTAAGCCAAATTTCATCAAAATTGGACAAAAATTACTTATTGCGTTCACAGACTTATAAATCTATACATAAACTCTATACTATAAACTCAAAATACCAATCTAACTTATAAATTCCACCCCCCCCCTGCAGACTGTGTATGTATGTATAAATCTATACATACATATATAACAATTTGAATGAATAGTGTTTTTGGCCTCAAGAGACATCAAAATGAAAAATTATATCCGTCCCAGGTGTAGGTCTTACCGTGCCACCTACGGTAATAGCTATTTCCCTATAGGGAAATTCGCTAAAAACATAAAGATATTGAAATATGTAAAAATTACTGCAGCGAGTTCACGAGTACCCTCCTAGGAAAGTTTACACAACATACTTGACATTAAACCTGATGTTTCAAGTAATGTTGATACTTGATAGCAAGACTATCTCCCATAAAACCTGTATTGCAGGACTTGAGCATGGAGTTGAGTATAGCTATGTACTGGTTTGTTCAGGAAGGTGCACTTCGAGAGTACAACCTGATCGGAGTGCTGATGGGTCTAGCTGTCTACAACTCCATCATCCTGGATCTCCATTTCCCGTCTATCTGCTACCGCAAGCTGCTGTCGCCCCCAGTCGTGCCTGTAGACACCAGCAACGTAGGCATTGTCCACATGCCCACTGTCGATGACTTGGCAGAGATCATGCCGGTCAGTTCACAACTAACATACCCATGTCCCTAGGCACGTTAGCCAGGGCCTTTGCGCTCCCTGATCAGTGCCCCAGAGCATGTCGAACTTGAGAGAGTTGCTTGATGAACTTGCATACGTATGAAAACTTTGGAAAGGAGCAATATAAACAATTTTTGATCCATTGAGTGTGGCAATAGCACAAATAGCCTATGTTAGTATTTAAAACCCACCTAACACTGTTTTCAATACAGATACAAGCATTTATTAAAAACATCCTTGTTTAAACAATTCATTGTAAGTATTTATCTCAATTAAGAAAAAATATATGACAATAAAGTATTGTTAAATTATCTAAAACTGGTAAAAGTTACAATAACTAAGTGCCAAGTTAAATTGCACTGAATATTAAAAGGGACCTATATTTTTTCTAATTTGTTTTTTGTAGAAAAATCATGATTAGTCATCCGATTGATTGACTCTGTCTGTAGGGAAGCTCAAGGTTCTTTGTACGTAATAACCTTAATTGAAAATATTATAAATTAAAATATATATTGGATTTTTAAATCCAGCTCTAACACTTTCAGGACGTTGCACGAGGTTTGAAAGAGCTTCTGACATACGAGGGAAATGTCGAGGAAGACATGTGCATTAGTTTCCAGGTAAATGTAAATACTAACAATTAATTAATAAGGAAAAACTAGCACTATATTGATCCCTTTTTTGTGTATTATAAATCAATATTGTCATTGATGGTTTTGCTCATAAATAGGATAATTAACCCTTTCAGTGCTATGAAACGATATATCGTTGTTTAAAAAAAAACCCCTAGGGGATATAGAGAGGAAGGTTATTTAAAAAAAAAATAGCAAAACGGCCATTGGTGACCTGCATGTTTATAGGATACACTACCAACCACTTAGCTAAAAGATTTGCCCAATCCGATGATTTCGAGGTGTATGTCTAAACCAAGGATTATGAACACCTCACTATGCCCCAGTGGTTGTAGTATATCGCTACAAACACACAGGTCACCAATTATTTGCCACACAGGACGGGATTCGAACCCGAGCAGACGAATGCCACTGGCCAAGTGACACACGCCCTAGCCTTCTCGGCTATCTGTGCTTGAAGACTGGGGAGTAAACACCCGGTATTTAAGCTGTCGCCACCGATTGCGAACAGATGGCGCTGCAGATGGTTGTTCAATGCGTTACTAGGTAGCAGCACCAGCTAGTCACGGACTATTTAGATGCAATCTTTTAGTTTTAGTAGTAGTAAATGTGTTCCGAGACTTTGCTGCAAAACATTAGTTTCCCTAAAATTGCTATATTACAATAACCTCGTCCAACTAAATCAGGGTTAAATTCAATATTACATTGTAAACTATATGTCTTTTGATTTTGTGAGATTTCGGTTTCAAATAATGCTATCAGAACATAAAAATTTATAGGAAAACCAGGAAAATTACAACAAAAACTAAGTTTTATTTGATGTTTACTACAAATACCGGGATTTATCTTTCTTATATATTTTCTTATTGTGTTATTATTCAAAATTAGCCTAATTAATAAAAAAGTGACAACATGACAGTTAAAATTCAACAACGGGTAATGGAATTAAAAGGCAAACAAAAAAGTCTTACAAAATATGAATTATTGGCCTAGCACTGAAAGGGTTAATTATTAATGTGTTTGCATATTCAAGTATAAATTTCACCTATAATGGGAACAAGCTATAATTACTGTAGAATTACTGTAGCTGTACACCTATCGTAATATGGTGAGACCTAGACCCAAGACCGATTTACTTTTTTTCGTTTTGATGTCCCTAGAGGCCAAAAATGTGATTTGTTCAAAACTAATTTAAACACAAGTTCGTTAGTATGATAACTTTAGAGGAAAATCATCTGTTTTTGTTTTTTTTTACAAACGTTTTAACCTACATTTTATTATTCAAAAAGTTTATATGTTTTAGAACAAGCATGATGGGACTATGGGAACAGAGTTCTACAAGGGGAGAAATCTGGTTTTCGCAATTTTTACCCTCTTTTTAAACCATTTTGTGCTCTTGAAAAACTAAAAATTCAGTGTATTTTTAACGTTGTTGTAAGATAAATGGTTACAGGAAAAATATTTTTAAAACTGCACATTTATAGTAGTTTACGCAACGATTGCGTAAAGATAGTGTTAACGACACGAGTAGAAAATTTAAGGTACGAGCCTTGGCGAGTGCCTTAAAAACTTCTACGAGTGTCATTAACACTATTTACGCGAGTTGCGTACACTACTTTACCTACGACGGTGTTTTAATTACTAAAAATCACTACGTTTTTGTTTATAACCTCTCATTGCCACTGACATTGATGCAACACAACATTGTATCAAATACTAATTGCACCAATCAACAATTAAATTGGCCTGAATAGCTGATTAGTTGAATTTCGAATCATTACAATTTGGCTTCTCCTCTCTCAATCCTTGAACCTCATTGGTCCGTTACCCGTGTTGTTATGAGTAAAACTATTCTGTTATGAATGTAAACAATGCTGTTATGAGATACTTTTCAATTCTAAGAACTATACTGAAACGGCTACTTTAAAAAACTGTCGTAGGTAAAAATGTTTATGCTATTCTTGTGAAGAATAAGTAAACTAAGAGAGTTAGTTTGCTTGTTTATGGATTTATTTTGATGAAATTTTGGCAAAGTGATTAATTTCATAATAATTTAATAACCTTTATAAAAAAATACACTTTATTACTTTCCCTGTAGCAGCAAACCTAAGTACTCACTAAACCTAGATGTTAAACTAAATAAACTTCCAAACTATTAACTTCTAATATTATATTTTGGGAAATTTTGTAAAATCTCACATAATAATAATATACAATAATAATAGTATAGGTGTTGTCCTTTGGAATGAATAAATAAATCAATCAATTAAATTAAATTAAAAGTTACGTAAATAGGGAACAAATCTGATGTGGAATATGGAAGCATTTCAGTAAGAATCCAATCAGGCAAATCAAAATACGTTTATTCTTTAGGTTTGCTGAGATGGGGTGTTTGTGTATTTATATTGCTATACAGTGGTGTAAATACATTGAGCAGCAACATCATGTACATCGGCGGTCTTGAAGATCATCATCGTCTCCACGGAATTAACTTAATATTTTTCCCTCAATTGCAGCAAATTAATAATGAATACATTCTTCTATCTTGAAGACATCATGTTCGTCTCCCGTGCTCATGGAAACATCATATTTTTTCCGCAATTGCAGCGAAATCATTAATATCTCTTACGGTCTCGTAGACATCATCTTTGTCTCCCGCGGTCACAGAAACGATGTCACCTTTTCCTGCGAATGCGGCGAAATCGAGAATATCTTCTTAGGTCTTGCAGACATCATCTTCGTATTCCGCAGTCATGGAAACGACATGATCTTTTCCCGCCACTGCGGCAAAATCGTGAATATCTTCATCGGCCTTGTAGACATCATCTTTGTCTCCCGCGGTCACGGAAACAACATAATCTTTTCCCCCGTTTGCGGCAAAATCAAGAATATCTTCTTCAGTCTTGTAAACATCATCTTCATCTCCCACAGTCAAGGAAACGTCATGTTTTTTCCGCAATTGCATCAAAATCATTAATATCTTTTTCGGTCTTATAGATATCATCTTCGTCTCCCGCCGTCACGGAAACGACGTCATCTTTTTCAGCGTTTGCGGCAAAATCAAGAATCTCTTCTTAGGTCTTGTAGGCATCATCTTCGTCTTCGGCGGTCACGCAAATTACGTCATCTTTTTCCACAATTGCGGCAAATTAATCATGAATATATTCTTTGGTCTTGAAGACATCATGTTCGTCTCCCGCGGTCATAGGAACAACATCATAATTTCCTGCTAATGATTTGTTGTATTATTAGACAGTGTATGGTAATGCTGAATAAATATATTTGACTGCTTGATCTTTTTTGGTGACACTATATTTTGGTTCTTATTGTTTAGATACATGTCAACTATGTCACTAGGTTAGCTTAGAAGAATACGGAGAAGTCAAGACATTTATGCTGAAGCCAGACGGAGATGACATTTCAGTAACCAATGAAAACAGAGAAGAATACGTAGCTCTGTATCTTGACTGGGTGCTGAACACAGCCATATATGACCAGTTCAGAGCTTTTTACCTGGGCTTTCACAGCGTCTGTGCATCAAACGCTCTCATTGTAAGTCTTCACAAATCATTATTAGAAGCCAGTTTTATTGACTTTGAAATTATCCACGTAAGATGATGTTTGCCTTATAATAAAACTTATTTTCCCAGATGCTTCGACCAGAAGAGGTTGAGATGCTTGTTTGTGGGTCGCCGACTCTGGAGCTCAATGAACTTCGTAAAGTCACAGAATATGATGGTTACAAGTCTGATGACCCAATCATTATGTAAGTATCACTAACAAAACAATCTTAGATTCGATCAGAATTAATCCCGGCAAATTAATTCACAGAAAAAATTACTATTAAAACAAGACAACTTTCTAAGTGATATATTTTCATTCAATTATATTGCAAAACTTTTTATTTTTATTTTTGCTTTGCTGTCTTTTGTTTGCTCTACTAATTGTATAGTTATTTTTTTAACTGGAAGGACACACCATAGTCAATTTGACAATATTCTTTTAGAAGAATGAATCTTTTTATATTGGTTACTTTGTATAATTTGACTTTAAAATTTTACAGCAAATTTAACAGTTAAGTCAGAACAAAATTCTATTGGGTCAGACTCTTGATGTATAATATATAAAATTAGGGGTGCAAAAAGAATTGAAATTGCCGTACTACGTATATGCTGATTGGGGGGGGGGGTTTGATTAGCAGATCAGCGGAATGATTTACATGTTATACAGCACTATAAACTGGATTAGCAAAAAATATACCAATGTCCCTCTTTACTCTACAGAAGCTGAATTCATGGCCCCAAGCATAGCCACTCAGGAAGTAGTATGGATAAGACTATTATTGAAAGATATGGGCTACCCCCGAGAAAATCATACAGTAATATTTGAAGACAATCAGAGCTGTATCAAGTTTATTGAAAATTAAAAGATGAGTGCCAGAATAAAGCATTTAGATAACGGTATTTGAAAACATTATGTCCGAGAGATAATAAACAAGAACCAAGTATTTCTGGAATACTGCCCCAGTGAAAATAATCAAGCGGACCTTTTGACATAGTCACATCTAGGGCTAAAGTTTAAAAGATCACTCTTTTGCCTATAGACATACCAGAAACAAAAGAACCCTGGGCCATTTCGAGGTGCAGGTTTGAAGGGTACGCTACACCTACCGGCGCGAACCTTGTGATCTTTTTGTTTCTGCGCTGGTTGTTTTGTTCTTGGGATGTCTATAGGACTTAATTTTGTCAATCCTATAGTTTTTAACAGACTGTTAGAAACTGTTAAAAAGCTATAGGATAGACAATGGTAACAGGACACTAACCTTTTTATTTGATTTAGTATCAATAGCAATCCAAGAGTCAAACAGTGTGAACCCCTGTAACAATCTCAGTAACTTTTACTTCTTTCTATGCAACTTAATATGGTAATCTATTTTTCTAGAGACTTCTGGGAAATTCTACAATCACTATCACCTGAATTGAAGAAGAAATTTCTCCTATTTACAACAGGGAGTGATCGAGTTCCTGTGGGTGGGATGGGGGAAATGACTTTTAAAATAACTCGTATAACCAACAAACCAGACAATCTACCAGAAGCTCACACATGTTTCAACCAGTTAGTGTTGCCTCAGTATGACAGTGCTGACGTTCTACAAGAGAAACTCATCATTGCCATCTCCAACGCTGAGGGCTTTGGTTTGGAATGAACTTGAACTTATATAATTACAATGTGTGCCTTGTGTACTTTAAGAAATATAAAACAAATCTTAATGAAAATTATTTAGAAAAAAATAATTCTTTGCTTGTTTCTAACCAAGTTTGGCTTGATCGAAAATCTCAGGCTTGCACACCTCTTATGACTAGACATTACCTGTAATGTAACACAGACTTTACTTGTTAGTCTATTAGGCCTACATTCTATCATGGTTTTCTATTAAGGTGTTTTCAGATAATCAATCAATTTGTGTTCGTAAAGTATCCACTAACATTCTCACAGTCTCTAACAATTTGTATTAAATTATACAACTAAATCGAATCAATCTAAACTTTGAGGCAGGGAGACAAATGGAATTAAAAATAGGAACAGAACTTTGGGATTAATACTATTTTAAAGCTTAAGTAAATCAATAAGGAGGTATTTTTGAAAATGATCTTGTCGCAAAAAAAGCTTGTGCAAGCAAAAATCATCTAAATAATCATCATCTAATACTCTAAATAATCATAACTCTAATAATCATAATCATCTAAATAATCATCATCATAATCATCTAAATACTAAGTTAGAAGGTTCAACATAAAAACTAGAAGAATTATAAAAATGAGGTATATTTCCTTATACACTATAATATATCTTAAATTGAGAACAAATTTATCTTTATAGAATTACTAAATAATACTGAGCATGTGCGAGTTAATGTGTTAGACAAAACACATCAGATTTAACAACTATAAAAATATATATTATATATATAAATAAGGCCATTTGTAGACACAGGCATCGTGTTGCTGGCTAGATCCGACTGTCTGAGAGAATCGTGATTGCTAGCTTCCTGTCTGACCAAACAAATGTTTTTGGAATCTCCAACTGAAACAAACAACAGTTCAAACTGTTATTATTCATACTTTAGAATTTATCTTACTTCAAATCATTGAATAGGATAGTAAAATATTAAAATTTATGTTTTATGAAGACCAAACGTTAGAAGTAGAGGTGTGCGAGCCTGAGATTTGCAATCAAGCCTAGCTTTTGAAAAAAAAGCTGAAAGTATTTTTTCAAAAAAGATGGCACCGGTTATCAGTAATGTTTACTCTCTCCATCAGATGACAGACCCAATTTTATGTCCTCTCATTTTCCTTTTTGGTGAAAGAGGCTTTAACATGAATACAACTCATGAACATGAAACCAACGGATGATTCTGCAACACCTTTCGGGTTACTTGATGCCGGAAATATCGTATTCAACTAATTTTTCATCAACCACATTTTGTAAGGTGGTCCTCATCTAAGGTGTAAGATGGTGATCATCTTCATACTTACGGTCTCTTATTTCCTGATTAAATTAAGATAAATATTCAATATTTTAAACTTCAAACATCTATTGTATTAGCCGAATTTGTGTGAAACCTTAAGAGTAACCGTCAATTTCGACTGGTTTCTTCAATAAATAACTATTCCAACAATAAATAAAAAAACTTATTGATTTTTTTAAGCTATAAAAGTTATTGTTTGACTGATTGATATGTAAAGTTAAACATTTTATGATAAAAATAAGAGAATATTTATTTTGGAAGGAATAGATAGATATATTTGCATAGTCTCTAAGGGTAGCAGCAAAATTTTGAATATCTCCATCATTGGTAATATTATCATCGGCGAAATAATTCTGATAATCTCACCTAAGGTTATTATCGTCATTCACGATTGCAGTAAAATCTTGAAAACCACCCTCTGTTTGTAGACATTTTTGTCGCCTCTTGCAGTCACAAAAAAGTCATCATAGTTTTCCACGATCACGTCAAAATCCTGGACATCTCAAACGGTTTGTAGACATTATTGTCGTCTTCCGCGGTCACCAAACGTCATAATAATTGCTGCAGACAAGCCATATTGGCTTTTGTGGCTTGGAATTGTATGTGTTTTGTAAATTTGTATTTTTTTGGAAATAAATAAATAAATAATAAATAATAAAAAAATAATCTCCTGCGATCGCGGCAAAATCCTTGACACCTCCCACTGTTTGTAGACATTATCGTTGTCTCTCGTGATCAAGGAAATGTCATCATAGTCTTAAGCGATAGTGGCAAGAGCGAAAAATTGTTCGATCACGCTAACTTTGCAGACTTGTTTTACGATCACGTTCTACGAGTTTGTGCTTGATCCCTCAAGTTTGTAGGCTAGGCTCGGCTTGGCTTGAAAACTGAGCTTCTAATTAGAAAACAATTTTTAATAATTGCTTTTGGATCTGAGATAACTCACTAAGCCGAGCGAGCTTAAATTCAAGATTTCATATAAAGGTAAGTTTTATAAAGACGATTACTAAATATCCTTGTGAAGTACTAAATATAATAAACCAATATGGACCAGTCCACCTTTAGTATTTTAAGGTTTAACTTATCATCGTAATAAGAAGGCAAAATTATCATTACATGACAAACAGTTACAAAATCAAACTTGTTAAAGATATTTAAATTTAAAATTTAAAATCGAGCTGTAATATTTTATCTTCAATATTACCTCTTATTTAATGTGGGTTTTTTGGCAAGCAGGAAAAATTTCTTTTAAAAATCTTCGCATGTGCTGCAGGTAAACTTTCTAGTTTCTACTGAGCATATTGTCTCAGTCAGTACTTGACTTGGTTACTAAGTCATAGCCAGAGCTTAAACAGTTCACAATTAAGTAATTCTTTAACTTTATTATATTATATATTGCAGATTTTACAGGATACAATAGTTTATTGAGGACCACATAAATCCTATAAAGGTGAGAGTGGAATAAAGTATTTATTGTGTTGGTGAGTCAGTATACTCAGCTTTCCGACCCTACAATTTTGTATAAGATCAAACTACTACAAAGCATGGTTGTATAATTGCTAGTTACTATTTCAAATCACATGACAAATATCACAAAAGGTAGTCAGATTTATAGTATTTTTAGTTAAATGCTGACCTGATCAGGATTGTTGAGGGGTTCAAGAGTGTTGGCCATTGGCTCAATGAAATCTTCAGGTATAAGAACTTGTAGCCATGGCCCGTGTGCAGCGTACGGCTTGTCTGCATCTACAAATGTGCCTGTCACAGAAGCTGCCACTAGAGTGATAGCTGTATCTCCCAGTACCGACTTGAATGTGAAGTGTCTACCGTGCCTCACACGCCCCCTGCAACACAAGTGTTCCTAAAGGTAGGTATAACAACTTGTAGCTACAGCCTGTGTGCAGCGTAAGGCTTGTCTGCATCTACAAACATGACTGTCACAGAAGCTGCCACTAGAGTCATGGCTGTATCTCCCAGCACTGACTTGAATGTGAAGTGTCTACCTTTCAATTGTTAAGTCATTAGTTTTTATTCAATTATAAAAACTTTAACGTTTAAAATCACAGCTTCCTCAAACTTTTACTCCAACAGAAAAAACTGCCAAACACTGTACAGCAATAAATCACGTAAACAACAATTGAAAGTCTAGTAGTAAACTACTACTACATGCAGTTTTAGGTCAGAAGATTGTCAATAAAAACATTAGATACCTTACTCATAAAAGAAAGTATAGAATTGTAGTACTTAAAGATAGTAGCAACACAACACTTGTAAAAATGAGATAAATATAACAATGACATTAAAACATTGCTTATTTTTTATCTTTGTTCTTCTATTCTTTCTTGGGTTTCTCTTCGTCACACATTCAAGAAGTTGCTATACTAATCAAATCACACAAACACAGGCTACTAAAGTTGCCATGGTAACTAATCACCCAATACAAGCCATCTAAAGTTATCATGGTTACTAATTACCCAATCACAAGTGTCTACTGTTGCGACATAACACAGTAGCAAACAGATATGTAAGGAAGAGACAATTATTATCGATTTATGATCTTGGTTAATCGAGGTTCTACAGTCTTTTGGTGTCGAGATTGATGGTCATCTTTTTGGTCCGCAGATAAACAAAGCTGAACTTGCGATGCTTATGTCAAATTTCAGAGGCTGCAGACCACCAAAATGGAAGTTGCTGTCCAGCGTAGCAATCTCTCAGCAACGTCTCAGATGCTTTACGCCCCAAGAAGAAACCCCAAGAAGGAGCCACGAAACAGGAAAACATGGAAAATTGGAGGATATTGAACATTGCCAGACTGCTCAGCTTTAGTCCAAGTGGGAACCCCACCCATTGACCTGCTGATCCTGGAGCGCTTTGAAATCTACCAGGAGCTAAAAGAGACCTTGAGGGACCAGAGAAAGCACTCAAAATAACAAAAGCCAAAAGAGAGACACACACAAGACTTACTGAAAGGTGGCCTGGTAGATGGGACATTTTTTTACATTTTTGATTGTAAATACACATCTGAAGAGTAAAAATATAGCATATCTGAAGTTGTCCACTTTTATCTCTTCTAACAGTTCCTACTGTGTCCAAATTTTGATAAATTAATTAATGAACAAGTGAATTTTGACTCCAGTTGTACTTGTAAAGACTTCTTGTCCAGAACTTCCGGTAGCCAATAGGAGGTAGGGACGCCATTGAGATTCTGGTAATTTGGCTATTTGGTCTAATGATGATTGGAGTGTCCAATCGAAAAAATCACCACTACCTCTTTTATATCTATTTACCATCTTGTTAAACCGTATAAGTGTAAATATGTTTGAAAGACCTGTTAGCGAATTTCCCATGTTAGCTATTACCGTAGTACACAATTGCAAAAATTGAAAACAAGATGGAAATTGTTCTAGGAGGTTATCTTTACATGAAAAGTTTGTTTATTTTATTACTTAGTTCAATTAAATAATGGTTGAATATGACAAAAATTATAGTTTATCATTAGGGATGGACGGGTCCCGAAATTTCGGGAATTTTTCGGGAAAAAAATATTCCCGATTATCGGGACGGGATAACATTTGATTCGGGAATTTTTCGGGACGGGATTTGGTCCGATCGTCGGCGATTTTGCCGCTTCGCGAGTGCCGTTGACGCCGGTATTGCGAGCGATAGGTCCGCGAACGCAGGAGACGAAGTCATTTCAACGACCGCGCCGTGACCGCGGAGTCCTACCGACGATCGCGCCGTGACCGCGAGTCATACCGACGATCGCGCCGTGACTGCGGAGTCATACCGACGATCACGCCGTGACCGCGGAGTCATGCCGACGATCATGCCGTGACCGCGGAGTCATGCCGACGATCATGCCGTGACCGCGGAGTCATGCCGACGATCACGCCGTGACCGCGGAGTCATACCGACGATCACGACGTGACCGTGGAGTCTTACCGACGATCGCGCCGTGACCGCGGAGTCATACCGACGATCACGACGTGACCGTGGAGTCCTACCGACGATCGCGCCGTGACCGCGGAGTCATACCGACGATCGCGCCATGACCGCGGAGTCATGCCGACGATCGCGCCGTGACCAAGGAGTTATGCCGTCGATCGCGCCGTGACCACGGAGTCATGCCGACGATCGCAACGTGACCACGGAGTCATGCCGACGATCACCCCGTGACCGCGGAGTCATACCGACGATCACGACGAGACCGTGGAGTCCTACCGACGATCTCACCGTGACCGCGAGTCATACCGACGATTGCGCCGTGACCGCGGAGTCATGCCGACGATCGCGCCGTGACCACGGAGTTATGCCGACGATCACGCCGTGACCACGGAGTCATGCCGACGATCGCAACGTGACCACGGAGTCATGCCGACGATCGCAACGTGACCGCGAGTCATAACAAAGATCGCGCTGTGACCGCGATTATTGGACCGACGATCATGCCGTGACCGCGAGGTATACCGGCGATCACCCCGTGACCGCGGAGTCATACCGACGATCGCGCCATGACCGCGGAGTCATACCGACGATCGCGCCGTGACCGTGAGTCATACTGACGATCATGCTGTGACTGCGAGTCATACCGACGATCATCCCGTGACCGCGAGTCATACCGATGATCACCCCGTGACCGCGGTCATTTTGACGATCGCACCGTGACCGTGAGTCACAAGTTTCTATAGGTACCTGTATATTGTTACCCATTTTTTGGTTTTTATAGATCAGTACCACAAACGGTAAAAATTGATTTTGTATGTCTTTTTTTGGTAACTGCAATACTCAAGACTTTCTTTTTATGCACAAATAAAATCCCGTCCCGTCCCGTCCCGAAAATCGGGAAGGAAATAAAAATCCCGTCTCGTCCCGTCCCGAACTAAAAATTCAATCCCGTCCATCCCTATTTATCATTCTAGCAAAAATATGTTTAAAACCCTCCCTCATTTTCTAATTTTGACCTTGTGTCGAAAAGTGTTACTTTAGGCGCTAGTGATGAAATTTGCTATTATTTTTTTAAGTTTGAACTAACTTACCGTATCGCAAGAGGCAACAAAACTCCAGACTCTAAATTAAACGTAAGATGCAGGCTTTCTAATTTTCTTGTTCTCAAAAGCTCTGTAGCTTCATTCAGGCAATCCTCATCGTATTGGCTATGTTCAATTTTACATCTGCAAAACAAATAAAATTACGTCAGTTAATTAATAATTTATTCAACCTAGAGAGAACATTTAAGGCTTTCAAATATTTAGAACAAAAAATCCAAAACATGGCGTGATTTCAAGTTTGGTCAAGAATTACTTTTTCATTTTGACGTTAGTTTTATTCAAGGAAAGGCCCTAGGCCAGGATTTTGAATAGTGGAATAAAGACGATATCAGCTAGCTTACCTTAGAAGAAGTGCAGGCAGGCCAAAGAACACACAGAAGATACATATCACAATATTTCCTCATTCATCAATGAACTCTCTTTCTCTACACTTTACAAAGTCCACCAGGGGATAAAATATGTGTTTATGTGTCTTCTGTTTTGTCTATGCCCTACCTGCACTTCTTCTAAGATAAGCTAGCTGCTGTCCTATTTTTTATTTTGAGAAAATTATCTTAAGCCCAACTGAAAAGTTTGAGAAGTATAATAAGTGAATGTGCTTTATTGTCCAGAAACATATTTTCAAAAATAGAGTATTTTAAGATAGAATCTAGAAGTGCCTGGAGTTCCAGCATTGTCACCAGAGAAATGTGGACTTCTTGATCACACGCCAGTAACAAATACACAACAACAACTCTGAACTTATCAAGAAACAAACTGTTTGACTCTCACAACTGACCAACTGCTGCAAACAAGTACCTCACTAAAGACTGGTATTCCATAACAAAATGTATGTGAAATGTTCGTACTTTTTACATCTTGTTAGTTGGGGGCATAAATAATGCACATTCTCATATAAAAAATTTTAAAGAAGTTAGCCTAACATTTTTCAATTTATATTTCAACTAGCAGAGCACCCGTCCTTTGTACGGGGTTGGCATATAAGTATAAAATGCTTATTGCAGTTATACTCAAGCTTTGCGTTTGCAATGGGTGGAGGACACAGTTTGATAAAATTTGGTTCATAAATTTACGGTATGATGTGGTATAACACATCTACCATTGCCATAATGTTCTACCACTATTGCACCTAAACAATAAAAAAAATTATCAAACATTCACACAATATCACAAATTATTCATTAAATTAAAAACTCAAACCCAACTGTAAACAATCCTACTTTGACAGTTCTCATTGTGTATCACAGCTTTTTGTTGCTGTTTAGTTCAAATTAGCTGTTGACATATATGCAAAAACAAAATAATAATAGTGCTGCACCCTGTTGGGAGAACTTATAACTTTTTAATGCTATTGCATATTATAGAACCGACTTGTAAAGTTGAAACAGCTGACTAAATTCTTTTATTCCCTTTAAATATGAATACTCGTAAGGTTAACATGGGGAACTACAGGGCCACTGGGGCGGAGCCCGAAAGGATTTTTGAGATAAGAATAATATGCCTAAATGTTAATCGGGAATGTGAGCTATCATCATGCCAAATTTCAGCCCAATTCGTCCAGTAGTTTATGCATGATTGTGCAACACACAAACTTTCACATTTATAATATTAGTAAGAAGTAAGATAAGATAACATTCTCTGCTGTTTTCTCTCTCTCAGAAACATCATATAGACCTTTTCTGAATTGAAATATTCAAATATTTATTATAGAAATTACAAGAGCTTGGTCTCACCAAGCTTAAAAAACTTGTTGGCGAGGTCCAATTGATGCAAAAGGCTAACAAACAAAAAGCAAAAAGTTTAGTTTTTTTTTCTTTTTTTCTAGAACAAAGTTTTCTTAGTATACTATTTCTACGGCGGTTTGTGGCAGGCACTTTAACTTGAAACAAAGTAATTGGCATCACACTAAAATCTAAATTTAAATCTAAATATAAATGTAATGACATAAGTTTTTGCTTTATAATCCACGGAATACTATTTGGATTGCTTGGAATATATATTTATTTTTATTTTTGGTAAATGGAATTAACTATAGCCTTCTCTAATAAGGTGTTAGTGTGTTGTAACATCAAAACAACATGCCTATTGCCATGGTAATAACAGAAATAAGTAAAGTGTACATAATAAACATTGCCTATACTGTCCATTATCATGGTGGAAGGAAAAAAACCTAGGTGTGCTATTCCCGTCATATGCTGACGTCACCGAGATTGCAAACAAAAAAGCACCTGTTTCTATTGCCATACAGGCATATATTTGTTTTGAATTTATTGTTATTGTTTTTATAATTTTTTCTAAATGGTGAAATGGTGTTTGCAATCTGGGTGTCGTCAGCATATGTGACGGGAATAGCAAACGTAAACCTATATTTTTTTCCTTCCACCATGGCCCATTATAAATTAGTGCAACAGCTGTTTCGGTTTGACAGGACAACAGTGTTGCCACTTTTGTCTCGCTGCGGCCTTGTATTAGAGGAGGCTATGAATTAACTTAAGTTTTCAGAAACTATTTTAAAATTATTGAGCTAAGAGGAAAAATTTGCATTGTAACTAAACTGTTAAAATAATAATGATTTAAAGATTTAATGAAATGAGGAGTCACTTTTATACAATTTATTAACATGCACTTAAATCATCAGCTGCAACATTCTCAACTACTGCAGATGATGTACATTACACAAAGACACAAGTGATACCTACTGTACATTATACCGCTCTGCATGTGCCTTGATTGGAGGAAGTACAGGTCGTGTGTTGAGAGAGCCTTTGCGTAAAGCTGCTTGGATCTGCTCAGAGTCCGGGCTAGGGGTCAAGGGTCGCGTTGCTGGACCTTCTTTTAACGTTCCACCCTCACCTGGCAACAACAAAACTATAGTAATTGTGCGGTGTAATTATAATATAAAAGAGGAAAAATAGAGGGTTTTGATAGAAAGAGGTATATTTTACGAGAGATCAATTAAGTACATGTTTTTATGAGAGGTGATTCGCGATGAATGAATGCAACAATAGAGATTGACATATGGTCATGTGATGAGAATTACAGATAGACTGTTAGGAACAAAGACATTTAAATCTATATAAATAAAATTAGAGTTTTGTCTGTACATTGCTCAGAATCATAAACTTTTAGGTTATTTTTACGTTTTATACATTAGAGAAACCGAAACAAGTCTCATCTAAATTTCTGTCTGTCTTCATGTCTGTTACGACCCAAGAGCCATTTTACGCGGCCTACTCCTGAAAAACGAGAGTACCTATCAAGTTCCAAATCATTTTAATGTATTCACTGGATTGGCGAAATTGTCTTTAGCCATTAAAATATGGCGTCACCACTTTGTAAATAAAATAACGGACGTTTAAAAACCCAATTTTGTGCGATTGTTTGTAAAGTTTTCTCCCAATGTTTAGCACATATTCTTCTATGAAATAACGAACAGCTGTTCAAATCAAGATTATTTCTTCTAGCTGTCACTGATATGTTTACATTAAATGTTGTTTACAAATACCGCAACCATTTCAGATCACGTCTTGAAAGCAAATCCAAACCAATTAAGGTTAAAAACGTTTTTCCTTACATAACGGATTTAATTAATCGCAAGTGCAATAATATGTAGGGTAACAGTAAATGAAAATAGAGATTCTTTGTGTATAAAATTGTTCTTGAGTTTCGATAACCGGGAAATAGACCTTGAATCAGTGTTGTATATTGCTGGGAAACTTACATTTTTTAAATGAGCGTTTTCAGTCGAGACTCGGCACACGACCGACGCGCGTCTACTTGTCTATAGTAAAAATAAAAGTAGGCCTACTGTGTATTTATGTTTTATTCGTCATGTGTATAAGTGTACAGTTCATGTATGTGTTTCAAAAACTCCAAGACGCACCTAATGGGGAAGCTCAAGACCTTTAGGACTGATGATGGCGATTTAATTTCGCCGAAATGCATCTCCTGTAATGGTATTTACTCAGGGGAGGTACAGAAGAGGCTACGATGACAGCTGAGATCTTCTTATTAGCTGAGGGAACGCCATTACCGTAACAAAACGTTCAACAGCCATCGGCCTCGGTGGTCTATTGGTTAGCGTGCCGGGCTGATATACTGTAGGTCCCGGGTTCGAATCCCGCTGGTAGCGTTAACTTTTTGTCCAAGATTTTTTTATTATCAGCAAGTTTGGTTGGTTTGGTTTGGTTATTACAGTTTAATTTTATTATTAAGTCATTATAAAATTTTAATTGAGCAATTTCTAGTTTTATCTAATAAACAGAATTATTTTTCCGATTACTAAACTTTTGTTATATTATTTCTTTATCAGCAAGTTTGGTTAGTTCGGTTAGGTTATGATAGTTTAATTTTATAATTAAAAAATAGTAAAATTGAATTTGAGGCATTTATAATTTTATTTAATGAACAGAACTATTTTTGCGATTAGTAAACCTTCATTGCCAAAGTGCTCTCTACTACAGCGCTGTTCGCGGAGGAATTTTGAACTAAATGCCTCATTCGTACCTCCCCTAAGTCAGACCCCTCCTGTAATAGGATACATTAGGATCGACCGGCGGACACAGGTAATTTAGCCTTTTATTGATTGTCATACCGATCCGGAACAACAACAAACGACATAAAATGAAGTTATGTATAATAAATAGTTTGGCCAGCATATCTGAAAATATGCAAACCAACTGCTGTTCTTTATATAAGAAGGTTTCAACTGATTACTATAAGATCCCCGTGCATAGAACGGGTACACAGCTAGTTAATACTAAAACTCAAAGAAGGGATGGAAGGGTCCCGAAATCGCGCTGTGACCGGGGAGTCATACCAACAATCGCGCCGTGACCGCGGAATGCCGTGACCGCGGAATGCCGTGACCGCGGAATCTTACTGACGATCGCGGCATGACCGCGGAGTCATACCGACGATCATGCCGTGACCACGGAGTCATACCGACGATCACTTGAGTCATACCGACGATCGCGCCATGACCGTGGAGTCATACCGACGATCACACCGTGACCGCAAGTCATACCATACCGACGATCATGCCATGACCACGGAGTCATACCCACAATCACGCAGTGACATCGGAATCATATCGACGATCATGCCGTGACTTCAGAGTTATACCGACGATCATGCCGTGACTTCAGAGTTATACCGACGATCATGCCGTGACTTCGGAGTTATACCAACGATCACGCCGTGACCGAGAAGTCATACCGACCATCATGCCGTGACCGCGAGCGATCGCGCAGTGACATCGGAATCATTCTGACGATCGCACCGTGACTGCGGAATCATACCGACGATCGCGCTGTGACCGCGGAGTCATACCAATGATCACGTCGTGTCCGTGGAGTCATAGTCATACCAACGATTGCGCCATGACCGCGGAGTCATACCAATGATCACGCCATGTCCGTGGAGTCATACCAACGATCGCGCCATGACCGCGGAATCATACCGACGATCGCGCCGTGACCACGAAGTCATACCAATGATCATGCCGTGACCGTGGAGTCATACCAAAGATCGTGCCATGACTGCGGAGTCATGCCGTGACCGTGAGTCATACCAATCCCATTGACATTTTTTGGTTTTTATAGATCAGTGCTGCAAATGATAATAATTGATTTTGTTTGCCTTTTTTGGTAACTGCATTACTCCAATCTTTCTTTTCATGCACAGGAAAAAATCCCGTCCCGTCCCGAACTAAAAATTCAATCCTGTCCATCCCTAACTCAAAGACAACTTGACTGAACATACCGCCCCCTTTGAACCAACAAGGTTCAACAAAAAAGTGTAATTAAAAATAAAAAACAATTTAAGAGAATTGACCGGAGGGGGAGGTGTAATATTGTTTAAAGAACACCGTTTAATGGTATGAAACACTTTGACTCATGTCTATACATAATATTCTTGGCTCCAAAAGCAGCATAGGATTAGGGTAAAGGCTTGAGGCAAGTTAGTAATAAGAGGTGAGGTATTTTTTGTTACAGGAACAGAGGTCAGAGGAGAGTTGATAAGAAAATGGCCAGGTGTTACAGCTGCCGATTTCGAAGGTTCTGAGGAAAGAGGAGTTATTGGTTTTGAGTTTGAGATTGCTTCTTTTTGTTCTAGTTAAGCTAAAAACCTATTTTTATTTTGTTGTTTAGGAAAAGTACCTAGTTGATAGAACTAGAGGGTAAGTTAAATTTTGTATGTTCTTCTATGATTGAGTGGTTTCTGTTAACAGCCATAGGCTTACTGGTTTCAAAAAATGTAGGAGTGTATGATGAGTTTTGAAACAGGTCTTACAAGTACTAGTAAACTTGCAACTTTAGCAAAGTGATTTGCGAGGAAATTTGTACAGCGTTTTAAGTCACACACAACTTGAAACCTTTCCTGAGGGGTTTTACTTTGAAATACAGGACAACTATATATTTTGTGATTTTCATTACAATAGAAACATTTCAAATCTTTTGAAGTACATATAAAAGCCATAGGGGGATATTGAAACTGAATTGATTTATCAATTTGACATGACCCTTGGTGAGGGTTAAACATTTTGAGAGGAGCTGCTTGTTGACTGTGACATAGAGAGGCATTTTCACTATTGTTACAAAAATCTTTGAGGAATTTGATTATCTTACTTAGTCACTTGCTTGAGGAGAGTCGGAAGAGTTTATGCATTTCGATTCAAACATTTGACAGAGGTTGGATACATTTTACGCAAGATCAACTTACTTAAGAGATGTCAAGAGCTTGTTTGTTTTCATTGAAATTGTTTATTAAAAGTGATCTGAGGTTTTTGACTGATGTGTAAGTGATATTGGGTGGATCAACAATTTTACTGAGGTAAACAGAGATTAGCCTACGCTTTTGAGTAGTATCTTTCTTGTAAAGCGTTATAGGCTATTGTATAGTTGCCAGCAGAGATAGGTAACAATTTGACTAAGTGTAAGGCTTCACCTTCAAGTGAACTTAGCAAGTACTGGTGTTTTTCAACAAGGGATAAACTACTATTATTTTGGGTAGTAGTATCAAAAAGGTTAATGAACAAAATTCATGCCTTAGTGTCACCATTGAAGCACTTCAGTTCTAGCCTAGGCAATTTCACAATGCTAAGAGTAGAGGTTGGGTTTAAGGTTATTGAATTATTTGACGAGTGTCCATCTTTAGAGTTCTGAACCAAAAGATAAATTTTGGTTTAATAATTTATTGAGAGTTATGATATATCGTCCTGAAACTTCAAAATAGTTTCTTTATTGTCAGAAAAAACATTAGTGTTGTCGTCAACAGTAAGAAGTTTATCAAGGTTAGCTTAAAAATTAGCAGAGCTTGTTTTGGCTTTGTAAAAAAAAAGATTAAAAAAATTTAGTGGTTTAAGCTTCAGATATTTATGAGGGACATAGTCATTGATGGTATTCAATTTATTTCATTGCACTTGACATCGATTAGAAAATGTAGGAAATCTCATTTTGACAGCTAGGTACAGTTTCAATAATTAGGCCTATAAGAGATGTATAATTGTAAATGGTTAAAGTGATTTGAGAAGTCATCATACTTGTCATCATCATCACTATCACTAAATAAAAATTGATTTTTTTTGTTTTATTTTACTTTTTTGGTAACTGCTATAGGTACTCAAGAATTTTAAAACAAAACTTTTTTGCGCAGGAAAAAATCCCATACCAAAAATCGGGAAGGAAATAAAAACCCCCCTGTCCTGTCTCGAACTAAAAATGCAATCCTGTCCACCCCTAATATAATCCTTTCTTAATCTTTAAATTTAAAAAAAATTACTCTTAGGCGAGGTGCTAAGTGCAGTTGAGTATACATGAAAAGAGTCAGAGATTTTGACTTTTGATTTTGGTAATGGGGACCTAGGTGAGTGTAAAAACCCATGTCGTCGCCTCCAGGGGTGGTCAACAACATAGGGGTGCGGGCGCAAAGTTGCGAAAAACGTTAATCAGAAAACCACTTTTAACTCCCTTGTTATTGAACGTAAGTAAACGACTCATTTAAATTGACTTTTGATTTTAGTAATAGGGGCCTAGGTAAGTGTAAAAACCCAGGTCGTCGCCTCCAGGGGTGGTCGACATCATAGGGGTGGGGACGCAAAGTTGCGACAAACGTTAATCAGAAAACAACTTTTAACTCCCTTGTTATTAAACGTAAGTAAAAGGCTCATTTAAATTGACTTTTGATTTTAGTAATAAGGGCCTAGGTAAGTGTAAAAACCCATTTCGTCTCCTCCAGGAGTGGTCGACAACTTAGGGGTGGGGGGCGCAAAATTGCGAAAAACATTAATCAGAAAACAACTTTTAACTCCCTTGTTATTGAACGTAAGTAAACGACTCATTTAAATTGACTTTTGATTTTAGTAATAGGGGCCTAGGTAAGTGTAAAAACCCAGGTCGTCGCCTCCAGGGGTGGTCGACAACATAGGGGTGGGGACGCAAAGTTGTGAAAAACGTTAATCAGAAAACAACTTTTAACTCCCTTGTTATTAAACGTAAGTAAAAGGCTCATTTAAATTGACTTTTGATTTTAGTAATAAGGGCCTAGGTAAGTGTAAAAACCCATTTCGTCTCCTCCAGGAGTGGTCGACAACTTAGGGGTGGGGGGCGCAAAATTGCGAAAAACGTTAATCAGAAAACAACTTTTAACTCCCTTGTTATTGAACGTAAGTAAACGACTCATTTAAATTGACTTTTGATTTTAGTAATAGGGGCCTAGGTAAGTGTAAAAACCCAGGTCGTCGCCTCCAGGGGTGGTCGACAACATAGGGGTGGGGACGCAAAGTTGCGAAAAACTTTAATCAGAAAACAACTTTTAACTCTCTTGTTATTGAACGTAAATAAAGGGTCATTTAAATTGACTTTTGATTTTAGTAATAAGGGCCTAGGTAAGTGTAAAAACCCATTTCGTCTCCTCCAGGGGTGGTCGACAACTTAGGGGTGGGGGCGCAAAATTGCGAAAAACGTTAATCAGAAAACAACTTTTAACTCCCTTGTTATTGAACGTAAGTAAAAGGCTCATTTAAATTGACTTCTGATTTTAGTAATAGGGGCCTAGGTAAGTGTAAAACCCCATTTTGTCTCCTCCAGGGGTGGTCGACATCTTAGGGGTGGGCGCGCAAAATTGCGTAAAACGTTGATCGGCAAACCGCTTTAACTCCCTTGTTATTGAAGGTAAGTAAAAGATTAATTTAAATTGACTTCTGATTTTAGTAATAGGGGCCTAGGGTAAAGACCCATGTTGTAGCCTCCAGAGGTTAAAGTTTTAAGTCTGTATCACGTTTCAAAATAGTTAAAAAAGTAACACTGAAGTATGTCACTTTCAAGCTTATTCCCCATAAGAATAACATTGGAAACTGTTATAGCCTCGTAACAGTGTTGGAATCTTTCAAATTTGTACATTACATTTGCATTTTAGGGGCGAAGGAACTACGAAAAAATATGTAGTGATTGAAATTAAAGTAATCCAAGGAGAGTACAAAGCATTATTAATTTAAAAAAATAAAATTAAATAGTGTGGAAAATAAGCGAAAACCATTAAAAAATTTAACAAAATTTAGCAATTTTTGAAAGTATGTCAATTTTTGGGGGTGAAGGGTTGTGATTTTCGGAAAACGTCTAGCAGTGTTTTGATGAAAATTTAATTCCTGATCATGTTCTTTCTTACAAATCTTTTCTAGCTCTTACCCTTTTTGAGTTATAGCCGTTTTTAAAAAACATGTTTTTTAGTTTTTAGATGTCCACCATTTGGATTTTTGGTCGGGTTAAAATTTTAAAATGAGACTTTTGGGAATTTCAACGTTAATTTAGGATCCCATACTACAATACTATCAAATTTAAAGTCTCTAGCACGTTTCTAAACAAATCAGATGAGCATACCAAAGTCTTTAAATTTCATAGTTTTTCTCCGTAAGAATAACATGGGGCTCGTAAAAGTGGTAAAAAAAATGTTAACATTTTGACATTAATCCAAAGTTGTGGGGTTGAAGAAGTAAGGTTACGAAAAAACATGTAATGAGTAGAATTTAAAGTAAACTAAGTTAGATATAAAGAATTAATAATATTTGCAAAAAGAAATTCTCAGGTCAAAAAAAATAGCGAAAATCATAATAAATTTGAAAGAAATTTATCAAATTTTGAAAGTAGGGCGTTTTTTTGAAGGTGAAGGAGTGCGATTTTCGGAAAACGCTTGAAAATGTTTTGTAGAAAATTTAGTTCCTGATCATTAAAATTCTTCCAAATCTTGTATAGAACTTACCGTTTAGGGCTAGCCATTAAAAAACGTGTTTTATTCGTTTTTAAGTGTCAGCCATTTTGGATTTTTGAGGGGGTTAGAATTTGAAAATGGGACTGTTGCAAATTTCACCGTTAATGTAAGATCCGATACAACAATATTACAAAACTTCAAGTCTCTAGCACGTTTCTAAATGGTTCAGATGAACACACAAAGTTGACCACTTTCAATGCTATTCCCCCTAAGAATAAGATAGAGGGGAAATTTCTAGATTTGGGGTGGGGGGGTTAAAATGTGAAAACGTCATTTTTAAATATTTTCCTTGAGGGTTTGGGCCTAAGACCAAGAAGTGTTTGGGCAAGACCAAATGTCAACTGCCTAGCAGCTCTTTTTACACTCACCTAGGCCCCTATTACTAAATGAATCTATTACTTACGTTCAATAACAAGGGAGTTAAAGCGGTTTGCCGATTAACGTTTTTCGCAACTTTGTGCCCCCACCCCTATGTTGTCGACCACCCCTTGATGCAACGATATGGGTTTTTACACTTACCTAGGCCCCTATTATTAAAATCAAAAGTCAATTTAAATGAGTCTTTTACTTACTTTCAATAACAAGGGAGTTAAAAGTGGTTTTCTGATTAACGTTTTTCGCAACTTGGCGCCCCCACCCCTATGTTGTTGACCACCCCTGGAGGCGACGGCCTGGGTTTTTACACCTACCTAGGCCCCTATTACTAAAATCAAAAGTCAATTTAATTGAGTCTTTTACTTACGTTCAATAACAAGGGAGTTAAAAGTGGTTTTCTGATTAACGTTTGTCGCAACTTTGCGCCCCCACCCCTATGTTGTCGACCACCCCTGGAGGCGACGACCTGGGTTTTTACACCTACCTAGGCCCCTATTACTAAAATCAAAAGTCAATTTAATTGAGTCTTTTACTTACGTTCAATAACAAGGGATTTAAAAGTGGTTTTCTGATTAACGTTTGTCGCAACTTTGCGCCCCCACCCCTATGTTGTCGACCACCCCTGGAGGCGACGACATGGGTTTTTACACTCACCTAGGTCCCCATTACCAAATCAAAAGTCAAAATCTGTGACTCTTTTCATGCATACTCAACTGCACCTAGCGCCTGTACTATCTCTTCAACCAACAGGAGTAACTTTTCCATTGTTGGAGATTATTTTGCTCAGTGTAATTTAAAAGCTTTTTACAAAAAATTGTCTTATTATTTGTAATAGAACTAAATAAAGTTGTAAATATTGTTGTTTATAGATAAAATTATGTTCAATGTATTTTTTTGCTGAATAAATTATATTTTGGGTTTTATTTAATTAGATAAGGGAATTAACAACTAAAACATACCTTCTCAAACAATACTCTACGCCTGAACTTGTAGATAACTTGCTTCATTTGTTTCAACAATTATTCAAAACTCAATCACCGTTTTGAAGTCTGAAGGTGATGGAAAGTTGAGTAATTGTTGAAACAAAGTAGCAAGTCATCTATAAGTTCACATGTTGAGGATTGTTTGACAAGGTATGTTTCAGTTTTACTTTTGTACTTATTTGTAGATGCCATGACTTACCAGTTCCTAGACTGAACAGATGGTTGAGCTCTGACCATGAGCACCTGGCACTCACGCCACTGAGGTTAGAGCCGTCTTCCTCTATACCTCTGTCTACTTCATCCTGGGCTGTGACATCCAGTTCAAACATGGTCTCCCCCCTCCTCATGTCTGTAACCAACCATGGCCCACCAGCTCTGTAACATACAATGATATGTTCAAATGATATTCTGGTTGAAGATATCCAGTAGGCTAGTTAAAATATTATATATAAAAAAATGATAGTATTACAGATTAAATATCTGGCAAGTTAGGCCTAGTATTTTTGTTAAACGACGTCGTTACATCTTCTCATAAATTTTAACACGGAGCATATAAGCCTAATTTAATTGGTTATTCATTTTCATCCAAGTTCACTCAGCAATTAATAAGTTAATGTTAAATCTGTTCTTATTTTATTGCCTAGATAGGCCTAATTCAACTTTTCAAACTTATAAACCAAAGTCGTTGATAGCTCATTTTGTAAAATCAATCGTATTTTTAGGTCATTAAAAGCCTAGCCTAGTATATTTTTACTAATTTACATGTAGGCCTAAATCAAGCGCGGTGTGATTTTCATTGGTATACTTTTTTTGTAGTTTTTAGCGAATTTCCCGATAGGGAAGTAGCTATTACCGTAGGTGGCACGGTAAGACCTAGGCCCTGGACCGATTTATTTATTCATTTTGATGTCCCCAGAGGCCAAAAACACCATTCGTTAAAATTTGTAATATATATAAATTTATATGGTATATTAAAGAAAGCATTCCAACTCAGTACCCTGAAATGATTTTTTTATTTTATTTTATCGTTTCAGGGTACTGAGTTAGAATGCTTTCTTTAATATTTATAATGGTAGCCCTTTTTCCAAACTATTGTATATATAATATATATATGTATATATTATTAAGTAAGTTAAAATACCAAAGTACAAAAAAAAGAGTTATTTTATATTACTTAAAATGTTTCAATTAAAAATGTTGTTAAAGGTGTTCATGTAAAAATGTTGACATTTTTTATGAATAATCCACTTTAATTATTCTCCATAAGAATAGCATAAGAATTTTAAATTTACAATTTATTGGAATCTTTTTCGTAACCATTAGGCGCATAATAACAGGTCTGACTTAAGGGAGGTACAAATGAGGCAACGATGACATCATAGTTTAGTTCAAAATTCCTCTGTTAAAAGCGTTGTAGTAGAGAGCACACAGCATAATTTTTACTTCACTACTAGGCCTAGTTAATTATAAAATTAAGGAAAATTATAAAATTAATCTTAAAATTGTTCAATTATATTCATAAAATAAAATTATAAATTGCCTAAAATTCAATTTTTTAATTATAAAATTAAACTGTCATAACCTAACCAAACCAACCAAACTTGCTGATCTGAAAAAAAATTGTTGACAAAAAGTTAGTGCTGCCAGCGGGATTCGAACCCGGCACCTTCGGATTATCAGCCTGTCACGCTATCCACTACACCACCGAGGCCGATGACTGAATTCCGTATTGTTGCGGCAATGGTGTTCCCTCAAGAGGAGATCTGACAGCTGACGTCATTGAAGGCTCTTCTGTACCTCCCTTGAGTAAATACCCATAGTAACGCTTCAATGCACTAAATTATTTTTTTGTTTACACAAAATGGTTTGGAAAGAAATTGCTAAATTTTATGTTTTTTGGGTCAAATATAGGAAAAACAATTTTTTACCCCATATAATCCCCCATAAACCCCCGCTAACATAGTCTGATCATTCTGGTTCGCAAACTCGTTCGAATACCTTTGATTCCTTAATACCTGCTGCAACGTCGTTGACCAGAATTTCTGGATAGACTGTGTCAAGGATAAAACTAAAAATACTATGTAAACTATTTACAATATTTTAGGCAAGATGGCGTTGAGCCTATACTCGGTGCAACGCATCAAAATATTCGTCAACTGAGTACAGTGGTGGGTCGACTAGCCAGGCTTTGACTTTTTTTTAAAGCGGACGGTTCACAAGTCTTAAATCTTTGGGGGAGAGCATTGTACATCTTCAGAGCCCTAATGCGGAAACAGCATTGTGTTTTGGAGAGCCTGCAGTAGGGTATGTGAAGCTGGTCACTGTTACGAAGGTTGTGGGATTGGTGGAATTCCCTTTTTGTGAGCTGGTGTAGGTTATCACTCACATAACAGAGGCTCAACAATACATACTGGCTGAAGATAGTAAGAATTTTTAGGCTTCTAAAGATTGGCCTACAGTGTTCACTGTAACTTGTCGATGCAATGATCCGAACCGCCTGTTCTTGTAGGAGAAGAATATCTTCACACCTTGCAGCATGTCCCCAAAGCAGGAGTGTCCCCAAGTGGGAATGAAACAAGCCATGATAGACAGTGGTCAGGTAATGCCTCGTCAACAGGGTTTTAAGTCTGCAGAGTAGATGAACGCCTGGAGAGAGCTTCGTACAGACACTGTCCACATGGCCACTCCAGCTAATCTTTGCATCTATGACTAATCCCAGCAGCTTCACCTCTGTCAAAACGTCAGCGTTTGTACGACTGAGACTGCACACAATCTCTTGGGTTTTTTCTCGGTTGAGGCTCAATCCGTTTATTTCCAACCATAACCAAGTTTTTGCCAAGTCAAAAACTTCTGCAGCCTTTTCCCTGGCTAAAACTGGAGTAGAACCTCTGGCAACGATTGTTGTATCATAAGCAAACATTAGAACGCTTCCAATGGCACTAAGGTCATTTATCATGACTAAAAAAAGGACCGGCCCCAATACTGAGCCCTACGGGACACCATGCTCAAATAATCCAGGTAATTTTTATAAACACACAGTATAAACACTTTAATAATGCCAGGAGGTTCTTTTTTGTGGGCCATGTTTACGCGTAAACAGCCAGGGGGCGGAACCATCTTAAAGAGCAACAATGGAAAAGAAAAAAACATTAATAAGGAAAAAAATAACTCAAATATTTGATAGAGAAAGACAAATTTTCCTTTTAAGTTTACTTTTAAAGTTTCTACAATTTAGATTTTTAACTTAGCTTTATTTATTACCATTGGTAAATATAAATCAAAGATATGTATAGATATTATTTTAGGATATACTAGCAGTCACCCGGCGCGCGTTGCTGCGCTTAACAACTATTATTTTAAATCGTAATTTGTTCTTTAGAATGAATAATAAAAGTGTATACCAAAAATAACAATTGAATATTTTACTTAATTGCCAGTGGATAAACAATGTTTTTTAGCAAATTTCCCATATAGGGAATAAGCTATAACCGTAGGTCTCATGGTAAGACCTAGACTCGGGACCGATTTACTTTTTTGTTTTGAGGTCCCCAGAGGCCAAAAACACCATCCGTTCAAATTCATATATATATATTTATATATGTGTCCGTTAGCGCGATAACTCGAGCAAATATGATCAGATTTTGATGAAATTTGGTACAAACGTGTAAACCTACGTTTATTCGAACGAGTTCGCGAAGCAGCATAATCGGACGATGGGAACAGGGGTTTATGGGGGGTTTTATGGAGTAAAAATGGGTTTTTCCCATTTTTAACCCTAAAAATAAAATTTTTTGCAATTTCTTTCTCAACCATTTTGTAGAACTTAAAAAAAGAAATAATTTAGTATATTGAAGTGCTGTTTTATGCCTAACAGTCATGGAGAAAATTAAAAAAAGTGTAATTTAAAATTCCTATGTTATTCTTAGGGAGAAAATGAAAACTGTTGTAGTTTACTTCTTTATGGGTATATGTTGATAAAATTTGGCAAATTTATTTATTTCATTCTATACTATTGACATATGGTCAAAAAACACTTTTTACCTTCCCCGTAGCAGCAAACCTAAGCTCTGGTTAAATCTAATGTTGTTTAAATTGGGAATAAATATGTCTCATTTATGGAAATATTTTACTAAAAATGTAATCAGACAAGTTGAAATTCGCTTAGTCTGCAGGTTTGCTGCGGCGGGGGTATTTGTTTTTTCATTAGGTGTATAAATATGTAAGTTTTTAGGTGTACCTACCACCACTGTTGGTATAGAACAAAAGATACAAATATTAACACATTGCCATCCCATTTATTGTTTATAATACTTAGATAAAGGTTTTTATGTTTACATATTTAACATTGGAGTCGTTGAGTGCACAGGTGTGCTGCAATTGGGGTTTAATATATTTGGACTTATTCAAAAGTAAAATAGTTTTCTGTGCTGCACTCTATGGAGCCATTGTGGCACTATTTCAAATCATGACTAATACATCATGTTGTAATTATTACAACCAACAAAACAGTTGCCGGGTAACAGCTAGTTATATTTATTTGTAAACATTGTAGTTCAAAAAGTCTGACATTGGCCCACTTTAAACCCTCTGGGGCGGAGCCCTTTTGACGGATCTGCACCAAACTTCACACGAACCATCCTTGAAAGATGCTTAATATTGCCTGAAAGTTTCATTACAATCTGTCGAGTGGTTTTGGAGTCCATAAGGTATATGCATATATACATGCATACATACATAGTTCATCTTTTATAGATATAGATTAGATATATCTGTTGCCATCAAGTGTAAAAATTCAACCTAATGAAAAAATGTATTTAATTTGATATACAGAAGACCCCGATAACTTAGCTTAACCAATTATAACGGGACTGGACCTAGGTTGGATAGCTCAAAAGGACAGTTAAAACGGGCAATCCCTAAAAACTTAAAAAAATTGAGTGCTATTCATTTGGAATAATATAATAATATAACAAGCTGCTATACCCGTGCTTTGCAACGGGGAGAAAATGTGATCTAGAGAGCTATTGAAGTAGTGCTGATGCGTGTTTTAAAATACAACAACTCTATGATTTAGTTTGAAAATATAAACTGATATAAAGTGTAAACCTACTTACTTTCAAACACCTACTTTTAATGTTAATATAGATCCAAAAGAATATGACAACATACCTTAGTGTAGCAATAGCATCAATTGCTTTATATTAATGCTTCATGAATGACATGTTTGGCCATAATTCTTCAATTTTGGTCAAGCCTTTTTACATGTAGCTTACTATATAAATTACAAATTGAAACTTTGAGCAATACTTTACAAAACGTATACAACCTTTCTTTAAAACCAAACATAACCCTCCTAAAACTACATAAAGCATCACAAACAATTTTTTCGAGTAAATAAACAAACACCACTTCATTGTACTGACCAGCTGTTTCATTAACTAAATTGAATTAAATCATTTAATCTTTGGAAGCATGCCAGGCGTAGCCCTTTGGAAATCAGCCTGTGGGGCAGAGCCCTTAGGAAATTCATCCATATCAATACTTTTCGGCAAATCTACACACTCCAAGCTTCATTTTGATGTGCCATATGCCTATATTTTTATTTGGTAAATGGCCTTAACCGTTTACATAAAATTTGATTGTATCACTTTAATAATATAATAGATAGATAGTAGTAAGATTATTGTGAAGTCATGTGTGTATTATCATTGACTATACACAGAATAGACTTCCCATGTGATATGAAAATTTGAAGCCAAGAAAATAGATGAAGTTTAGGACCATCTCTAATCTCACTAGAGTTTACTAGTGTTTTGGGTGAATATTGATTAATATTCTGTGTATAGTCAATGGTATTATTTACAAAATAAACTACACGGTCAATTCAAATACTTTCAGTGGAATAAATTGAAGTTGTAGGCAAGAGTCAAATCCATTAATGGTCCAGTAATTTCAAATCCATCGTAATACAGTACAGAACTTATTGTCAAAATTAAGAATACAAGCAACCATTTCGATACGAGACAGATTGTTTATTTAAAGCCTGTAACATCCTGTAGAGTTTAGCGTATTGTTCCCATCGACAAAAGCAGCGGTTAAACGGAAGTGCTCACAAAACAAGGTCAGTTAAAACAAACTGTAATATTTTACGTACGAGGGAGGGTGGATAATCCGATTATCGGTTAATGCGAGGTCGGTTAAGAGGTGGTATACTCTACTAAGCACAATTCAGCTGAAATACCCTGGCAGTCTGCGGAGGATGTCAAGCACACCAGGTCCATTCCAGCGCTGAGCCGCCAACAGCTCCTCCCGACAGATGCCCACTACCTGTACGAAGTTGACGAGGCCGAATGGTGACGTGGTGGCTGGCAACTGGGGGTCTGCTGCCATCAACATGTGTTGGATACGAGACTCACTACTGTCTAGTGCGCAGTGCCAAGACACGTGGTCGCCAGCACATAGAGTATTGCCTTGAAATATCACATAATCAGTGTTGACACACACCAACACATTTCCACTTTTAAAACTAATTGATTGTAATTTAACTATTCAGGGTATCTCACCTAAAGTGAACAATTTTACTATAAGAAGGACAGTTAACGAGTTAACTTCTTATGGGGAACTCCCCTTTATATTTAAGATTTTTTTATGGTTACTAATTTTAAAAAATATGACCGGTATTTTCCAATATGTTCTACAACTTCAATATTTCTTATAGAACACCCAATATTTTATGATTGTTTTAGAATGTAAATGTGACTTTAAAATATTTTTATTTTTGACATTTTTCTCTAAAGCTACTTGTTTAGGAGTTGAAGTGTGTTACACCTAAGAAAAATTGGCTTGCGTTGTACATTGTGCATCCTGTAGCTCCCTAATGATTAAGTTTAGAGAGAAATTGCAAAGAGTAAATAAGTCTTAAAATTGTATCTACATTTCAAAAATACCATAATATACTGACTGTTTCAATTTTTGAAACAATGGAATCAATATTTTCAATGTTTTTTATGATCTTTTAAAAATGAAGATCCAATTTTAAGTCTTATTAGCGAATTTCCTTATAGGGAAGTAACTATTACCGTAGGTGGCACTGGCACAGTAAGACCTAGGCCCGGTACTGATTTACTTTTTCATTTTGATGTCCCCAGAGGCCAAAAACACCAGTCTTTCAAATGTTTATACAGGGTATATGTGTATATATATACATACATGAACGTGAACCAGCATAATCGGACCAGGGGACCGGGGTTTTATGGGTTAAAAAATGGTTTTTCATTTTTGACTGGCTCAACACACAAAATTTCCCAATTTCTTTCTAGACCTTTTTAAAGAGCTTAAAAAAAATGTTTAGTATTTCGAAGTATTTTTGTACGGTTATTGGTAACGGAGAAAATACAAAAAGTTGTAAATTTAAAATTCCCATGTTATTCTTCTGGAGATTATTGTAAAATTTTGTAGTTTGCTCGTTTATGGATATATTTTGATCAAACTTGGCAAATTTATTTATTTTATACTAAACTATTATTATTTTACTAAAAATACACTTTATTAGCTTCCTTGTAGCAGCAAACCCAGCTACTTGTTAAACCTAATGTTATTTAAATAGATTTAATTGGAAATCAATTCAGACGAATGGAAATTCACTTAGTCGGCAGGTTTACTGCGGCGGGGGTGTTTATTCTTTGACTAGTAGCAGCCGTCCTTCGTACGAGGTTGGCGTATAAAGTAAAAAATGATTATTGCAGTTATACTCATACTCTGCGTTTGCAATGGGGGAGGACACGGTTTTTGAGAAAATTTGGTTCTTTAAATGTATAGTATGCTACAGTGTTGGGGAAGCTACTTTTAAAATGCATCTAGCTACAACTACTGCTACATTTCCAAAAAAGTAGCTTAGCTGCAGCTACAGCTACAGTTCAGAAAAAGTAGCTAGCTACAACTACAGCTACAATGAAATGTAGCTATAGCTACAATTTTAGCTACCTACTTTTCCAAAGACGTTACTTTTATTCCACACTCATTAGGTAAATGTAAAATTAATTGCAACTACATTTTTATTGAACAAACATTTAAAAAAAATGTCTGTATTGTATCTAACATTACTTGGAAAACAATTTATTCCTAGATTGTATTTAATGTGGGTACTTTCCTGTTAAAGGGAACATTCATTATTATCGATGATTTTTTCTCGATATATCGATATTAACAAATTGAAACATATCAGCTGACAACTACGCGATAAATATTGTTCACTATCAACAAACAATAATGAAATGAAACGGTTCTAAAAAAAATAACCTAACATAACTAACCAAACTTGCTATAACATTTACAAATTCCGTGTTTAACTTGCCTTTTCTATTACCAAACCCAAACGGAATTTTTAAATGGTCCAGCAAGTTTGGTTGGTTATGTTAGGTTAGCTTAGAATATTTTAGCCTAAACAAGATCAGTTAGTTGTTGTCAATTTGTAATGGATCGGAAAATAAAAATATCGATATATCGAGAAAAAATCATCGATAATAATGAATGTTCCCTTTAACAGGAAAGTACCTTAATTTGTTGGCATTATAAACCTAACATTACAACAACAGAACCAAATAGTTGGGTGTTCCTTCATATTTATTATAATACTTATTTTTAAATATTGCATTATTTTTAAGCATCATACCTAACTAACCAAACGATATATCGAATAATAAATAATCGATATATCGATCGATATTACTCATTCGGTTGTTTGTGCCAACGGATATGGAAGTGTACCCGCATCTTATATGTAAATTTCATTAAGTTCAAACATACAACCAAACTTTATTTTAAAAGCTAATTTTATTTTGTTAATGTACATTCATTTATAGATGTCTTATATCAACAATTAAGACCAATAAAACTATAAAACGATTATTTAAAGTTTATTTTTTGTGTTACAGAGCCTAGCCTACTGAAATTGGAATTTATTGCCTTTCTTTATTTTTAATGTTAAAAACGACATTGCTATAACTTTCAACCATAGTGATAAGTTACTTGTTCTATGAATAACACTTTTCAATGTCATGAAATCGTCCATTATTGTAATCATGCATAGAGCAAATTGTGCTTCAACCTAGTTGGTGCAGAAAACAGTATTCAGCAACTTAACATTACACCCTAATTGGAGGCTACACAAGAAGAAATCATACGAAAGGAGTAGTTGCAGGATATGCCAAACATGGCCTGGAAAATTATATGAAAGTACTTAAGATAAGTGATGACGACTCAGAACTAGTATGTGAAACTGCTCTTTTCGAAATAAAACTGAAAAAGGAAATAGTCTAGGTCATGGGAGTCTACAGGCCTCCAAGGGACAATTTGGAACAAGCGCTAGATATCCTAGCAAGCCAGCTGGAATATGCTCTCCGCACAAAGAAGAAAACTGTCATCATGGGCGACATAAATGTAAACAACCTTGGTGAACATGCAAACGACACAGATAACATCCAAGTTGAAGATCTTCTATCCTCTTTTGACATTGTTAGACTAAATCTACCACCTACTAGAATTACACATGAAACTAAAACCTCAATAGACTGGATCTGTACAAACAATAAACCTGGACCCAAAACATATCCAGACATCCATTATCCTGTCTGGACTCTCAGACCACACTGCCCAAATTGCCACTCTCCAACTACCATCAGAAAAAACTACAAAGTCAATTAAGGAGAAAAGAAGAACTCTCAACAAAAACACCATAAATCTATTTAAAACCAGGCTCCATGAACAACCCTGGGACTGTGTCTACCACATAGAAGATGTTGATGAATCTTATAACAACTTTCCCCGGGGTATCCAAGGAATACTAAATCTAAATGAGACCTGCCCAGTAAAAATGACAAGGAAAAAAACAACAGAACCAAAAAAACTGCTGGGATGCTGAATGCTCTAGACTAAAAAATCTATATATAAATGCCCTGGAAAAAGAAAACTGCACAGGTCTACCTGAAGATAAAGCAGAAACCGCAGCAACAAAAAGGGACTATGACCTAAGACTAAAGACTTTGAGGAAATCTCAAACATCCGACTATATAAGCAATGCCGACAACAAGTCCAAGGCACTCTGGTAGGTTATAAATAATGAGAGAAAATCAAGTACCAGTATAGCAAATGAGTGGGAACTCCTAGTAGATGGGGAGACATTACAGGACCCAATCAAAATAGCAAACCACCTCAACAGTTTTTTTGCTACAGCTGAGGAAAGGACACTTCAGGCCAACAACACCAACACACACACCAGAACCCCCGAAATTCCTCCACTTTAACAGCTAACAAACTAAAATTTTAGCTTGCAACTTGTAACGAAGTATCAAAAGCAATAGACTCACTTAAACCAAAAACTTCATCTGGCACTGATGAAATATCAGCCTAACTGGTCAAAACATGCAAAAATGAACTGATTAACCCACTAACAGCACTCATAAATAAGTCTCTCAAACAACGGGTCTTCCCAACACAGCTGAACAGAGGCGGCGTTTAGGGGGGGGGGGGGGCAGGGAGGGCAGTTGCTCCCCCACTTTCATAAGGAATATTTATCAAAATTATAAAATAGAATTATATCAACAATAAATCTAGATTTCGCCCCCCCCCCCCCCCTCACCACTCAAGCCCAATCGCCGCCACTGCAGCTGAAAACTGCCAAGGTATACCCTAAATATAAAAGTGGACCAAACACAGATGCTAAAAGTTACAGACCAATTTCTACTTATACCGACCTTCTCTAAAATCTTTGAAAAAATCTTCCTTAACAGACTAATATCCTATCTAGACCAAAATCTGCTGCTCACCAGCCAGCAACATGGCTTCCTCAAAGGAAGATCCACCTCCACTGCCTTAATACAGCTCACCGAGCACATAATAGAAAAACTAGAAGACTCAGTCACAAGTCTGTTTCTGGACTTTAGCAAGGCCTTTGACTGCCTTAACCACAAGACACTTCTTAGAAAATTGGGAGCTCTGGGTATTGAGGGAAAGTCTAAACAATGGTTCCACAGCTATCTTAATGGCAGACAGCAACTAGTTGAGATTCAGCATGTAGAAAAAAAAACACTCGCCATAAAATAAATTCCTAAACTGCCCCTATACGGAGAGGAGTACCACAGGGATCAGTTCTCGGACCAGTCCTGTTCCTCCTCCTCACAAATTACCTACCAGACTAGCTACAAGAATACTGCCAAACCACAATGTATGCAGATGACACTGTCATCACACTAACTGACAAATCAACAGAAACTTTAAGCCCAAACATCAATATAAACTTCAACATGACTAAACAATATTGCACAGTAAACAAATTGGCTCTAAATGAAAAGAAAACTGTTCAGCTAAACTACTCTACTAAAAATAAAGACACAAACGTATTAATCCCTGGGATAGAAGCACAAAATAGTACCAAATATCTCGGCATTGTCATGGATTCAAAACTGACATGGAAACAGCACATGGACCAACTCTGCAAGAAGCTACGCTCTGGCATTCATGTCATCAGGCGAATGAAGCAGGTTGGTGGTCTGGACACCGCAAAAACAGCCTACCATGCCCTGGTCGAGTCACACCTCAGGTATGGTCTGGTGGTCTGGGGGAGTACATCCAACAACTACCTAAAAAGAGTCCTTATCCACCAAAAAAGAGCTATAAGATGTCTAGCAGGCCTTCAATATCAAGAAAGCAGTCGTGATGCATTTAAGGAACTAAAAATCCTCACACTGACATCACTTTACATCTGTGAGGCAATTCTCCATACCATATCCACAAATCAAACAAGAAACGGAGATATTCACCATCACAATACACGGAACGCCTCAAGCTTTGCAATACCACCTCACCATCTAAGTCTCTTTGAAAAGAAGCCATCCTACAAAGGGGCCCTGTATTTCAACAACCTACCAGAACAACTTAGAAATGAACCAACTCACCGTTTCAAGAACCAATTAACAACATGGCTGCAAGAAAGGCCATTCTACTCAGAAAAAGAATTCCTTGACAACCAGCTTTAACAACATATTAAATCAACAAATTTTACATATTATTCTGAGGCATGTACTGTTCTCAACGAACATGTAAATAAAGATCATTGTCTATTGTCTATTGTCATATAAGTTATTGCTTAATATCTTTGGGAGGAACATCAGAAGCAAACCTCAACAAAGTGTTGGTACTCCAGAAAAAAGCTGTCAGAGCACTCTCCGGCCTTGAGTATTTAGACAGCTGCAGGGAAGCATTTAAATCCCTTAAGCTCCTAACAGTGACAGCACTCTACATCCATGGAGTTGTCCTGTATACAAAAAAACTTAACCTTCCCAGAAATGAGAATTTTTACTCCTACCACACCAGAAGAGCAGCCGACCACAACCTTCCAATCCACTACACTACACAATACAGCAGAAACCCCTCTTATATTGGCCGCAAAATCATCAACTCTCTTCCAAACAACCTCAAGAACGCAACAGGAAACCAACTCAAACAGCAACTCTGAGATTGGCTTGTGGACCCGCCGGTGTACTCCCTTAAGGAATTTTTTTGACCAATTATGAACTTTCAACACAAAGAAAATGTAAACTGTTAAAACAATCTAAATATTAAACATTCTGGATTTTTGTGACACCATTGTATTTCTTAAAGAAATCACAAATAAAGAAAATTGTCTACTGTCTATGAAATTTTAAATTATGAATACTCATAAGAATAACATGGAAACTTTAAGAACCCCAGTGGGACATAGCCCTATAGGATTTTCACAACTTTAAAATGCTTATGTTTCTCAAGACTATCAAGTAACTCTCTGCAAAATGTCAGCTCAATCAGTCCAGTAGTTTTTCCGTGATGGAACTTCAGAGTTATACAAAAAATCCATATTTTCACATTTATAATATTAGGATTCCTACTCTAAACTTTACTCGTTTAAGAGCTACAGGTTGCACCATGTACATAGCAAGCCATTTTTTCTTATGTGTAACTTGCTGTAAGACCTCACTAAACAAGTAGTTTAAAAGAAAAAATAACGTTTTAACCTGTTAAAGTCCGAGTATTTGTATAACCATATACATGCATGGGCCGTGGTTTTTAAGATTTTGGCATTATTAGATATTTAATAGAAAAACATATTTTAAATAATATTTTTGTTATAGCATACACAGAATAGACTTCACAAGTAATGGATCAATTTGAAGCCAAAACAACGTGGTGCAATCTGTTGAGATGGTCTACCAATTAATGACAATATTCTGTGTCAAATGGTAACCCGAACAGCGGTTTGCTATGATACTGCATTGATTTAAATTAATATTTAACCCAATACACAAGTACCCTCTTATCTTATCTGGTGAGATGGTCCTGAATTTCATATATTTTCTTGGCTTCAAATTTTAACATTACATGGGAAGTCTATTCTGTGTATATTCAATGGTTATAGTATTTTATAATTGATTTTTTTTATTATTATAACTAGCAATCTGAGTCACTTTGTGACTTCGAAATCCGTGATATATATATATATATACAGGGTGGGCAAAATGTTTAACACTAACATCGTTCCACCATGTATATTTGATATATGTAGTTGATAAGGGTTAAAATAAAACGATTTATGTCGATCATCATATCCCTATTATTTGAATTGCAAGCCCTATTAGCCTACTTTTATTGCATGCCCGATCTCTTTGAGGCATCTTAGAAAATTTACAAATATTAATTAAACATACATTGAAAACACAAAATCTAACACAAGTAATTTTCTTCTTTGCATTTTACACAATTAACATTAGCCTACAATATTTGTACACACTATGCAGATAAGAATTTTCCAATGTCCCCAAAACTTTACACTGTACACAAAACATTAGAATTGTCCAATTTCCCTGGAAGCATTTTAAAATTAGGAAGGTATGAGTTGAAGACAGTATTTGAGAGATAGTAAAATATCTTTCAACTCATAATTTACCCTCTTTAGTCTGGGATCGAGGAATATTTTAGCTTAAACAAATAAAGTAAATAGTAGATAGGTACTTATTATTAATTAAATAGATATTTACGACAAAAATATTCAGCCCTTGTTTTAGTATTGTAAATTTTAGTTCATTGTATTATGAATTAGACTCTGGATTGTCAGAATTAACAATTAAGGTTGTTCTAAGCTGTTTTCCGTGTTACTGGCAAAACATTCTATGGTAGTAGGTGTTTCGTGATGTAAAAAAAGGAAAACATCTTAAATGTGAGCTAACTAAAACATCCTCATCACTAAGAAACGCCACCACGATTAGATAGCTGACATTCTGATTTGAATTTGCTCCATTTTCTGCACAGCTGTATGTGATTTGAAGCCTACCTGATTGAAATACATATTTAGCGAGGGACTGCATAAGGGTGGCAGGCCAAGTAGGTGGAGCTGTCTCTCCAACCTCACGTCGCAGTCTGAATGTCAGCTCAAAGCCAAAACCACTAGGAGACTCTGGACTGGTTACTTCATGTACTCTGCCATCTCCATGAAGGTCAGACAAGCCAAAACTGCAATAGACACAAATATGTCAACAACTTTTCAAGTCAGTCTTGTGGATGTTTTTCCGATAACAGTAAAAACTGTAGAAACTACATTAGCCTATAGAAAAGAGTTTTACTAGTAGATGTAAATCAACATAGTGGTATAGTATATTTCATAACAAGAGTAGAAAGTGAGAAATGAGTCATTACATATTTGAGAACATGTTTGATGTGCGAGATTAATCGAGCACTTTAAATGGTCAAGAACATGTATAGACCCACTTTCACTCGTGTTTTGAACGTTACTTTTCAATACACTATGAAGACTAATTATTGTTTTCTTAATTAAAATACTTTCAATACTTTAATACTTTTCATTGAAATAGCGACCATACAAAGTAGGTATTTTAAGGCAAGTATGAACGGAGAAGAGTGTAGGATGAGTTGTGCAAACATTCGATATTTCTTTATTACAGTTAGGAACATTTAAAAACTCATAGCAATTTTTAGGTTATACCTTCAATTTAAAGTTAATATCCTTGATTGTTGAAAATTGAAACAGTTGAAAAAACAATAGGCCTAACAAATCTTTAATTTGTTCACGTCTGCAAAATACAAAAAAGATAGTAAACATAACTTTTGCAAAGTAAACATTATTTTTCCGTAGGCAAGAATGTAATGATGGATTTTCACAGGTGATAAACATGTAACGAAAAAACAGGTAATTTCAAAGTAGTGTAGCGAAAAAGCACTATCTTCTACTTCACAAGTTGTGTATGTCACACAGGTACCAAACCATAAATAAGGATATTAAATGTACTTGCCATTACTATACAAGATATTTTACCTGATGTAATGCCAATGTGGAGGTATATCTAGGTCAGCATCTCCAGAATTAGCATACATACTAATGTAGTCCAGAGGATCTGGTCCACCAAGCCTGCAACCAAATAACATTATATTAGTTACTTTTGGCAAATTTATTATGTTTAGCTTTATCCAGACAATCAAAAAACAAGATTGTATCCCTCTGTCAGTTTGCCCTTTCAGTAGGCTATACAAAAACTACTTAATGTAGTTTCAGTATATAGGCTGAAACTTTGCAAACAGGTGATTTGTCTACCAGGGTATAAACACTTAGGCTAAGTGTATTTATTGAGCGGAGCGAGCGAAGCGATCAAAGCTCTTATACTTCGACTCTTATGCATTTCGTAATACGCAAACTCCTCCTAGACGGCTGAATCAATCGTTTTCAAATTTTGCATGGTAATAAAGACCATATCGGTGAGTGCCAACTAGGGGTCTCAATCCCGGGCCTTTAATCCAATCCCGGGATTTCGGGATTCGTCTCAGCCGATCCCGGGATCAATCCCGGGATTATATAATATTATGATTTAGCCATTTTAAATTAGCGAGAAGTCCCCTTGTTGAGTACTTTAATGTTTTAAACTGGCCTTACTAGTGTTACACTGCACAATGTTTCCGTTTTCTAAGTAAATAAATATCACCACGCGGAACTTTCATCGCCCGTATTTCTTATTTACAGTGTATAAATGTTGATATGTCATTCTAGAATATAGGCCTAATAAATACATTTAAAAAAAAATCACGATTAACCGTACTTGTACGTAGGCATTACGTCACGCTAATAGATAGATTAAAGATAGCTAAGAGAAAAAGATAAAATGGGAAGAATCACGAGCATCAGCGTAAAAATGTGATTTTGACTGACAGCAATAAAACAATATAAGATATTGTAAAACAATAAACTATCTGCTTTGTGGTAGTGTGTGTATGAAATACTTCATTTTAAATTGTAAGAAATTTAACCACCACACATAACCAAATACTAAGATAAAAGTTATAGACCCTAAATACAAGCAATATTAATAATGAGATTATAATCGAGTGTTTATAGTTATATTTTATGGCTTCAATGAAAATAATACTTAAATTTCCGATTGCAATGTAATGTTTGCAACACAAATTGCGTTGTTTACGTTAAATGTCAAAAGTAAAACTCAAAATAACTTGTAGGCCTACTGTAATTAAGTTCTAACTAATGTAACAACATTTACAGATAGTAAATCCAAGTCGTCTAAAACTGAAACATATATTTAGGCCTACATTCGTTCGCACATTGAGTTTAATGATAATTAAATTTTCCAATCAAAAAGATTATTACTTATACCATTTCATATAATCGTCCTAAAAATAAAGAGTATAAGTGTTTCAAGTGTTATTGGACTATTTTTATTAGTTTTCCGTAAGTAAAAGTCTTCAAATTTACAAAAAAATCAATATAAACATAGGTTTTGCAATCCCGTTAATCGCGGGATTTAAAGTCACCAATCCCGGGATTTCTAGGTATCAAAAATTGGCCGGGATCCCGGGATTGAGACCCCTAGTGCCAACATCTATATGGTGTTAAAAAAGTCTCTCAGGAATCCACCCCACTGGGTCTCAAACTTTCAATGTAATCCTCATGGAAGCAGTATTTGACACATAAACAAAGACATATGATCAGCTGTTGACTTTTGAATGCAGTAGATAAAGAAATAGCTGATAGCATTATTCCACAGATATCAGAACAGAAACGGTATGGATCATAACTATAATCAAATGACGACACTAGCTTGAGGTCCGTGACGTAGGAAGTGGTGAAGGAAGTAGTAAAGGTGAGCAGTCTGGAGTTTGGAAACTGTTTATGACGATTAGATTAAGGTATCTGCTTTCCTAAAACTCTATGGGAAGGGAGGAAAACAGGTCTGCAACGTAGGAAGTGGTGAAGGAAGTAGTCAAGGTGAGCTGTCCGGAGTGTGGGAACTGTTTATGACGATTAGATTAAGGTATCTGCAATCCTAAAATGCTATTGGAAGGGAAGGAAACAGGTCTGCGACGTAGGAAGTGGTGAAGGAAGTAGTAAAGGGTAGCTGTTCCGGGTGTGCGATCTGTTTATGACCATTAGATTAAGGTATTTGCAATCCTATGATGCTATGGGAAGGGAGGGAAACAGGTCCATGACGTAGGAAGTGGTGAAGGAAGTAGTAAAGGGTAGCTGTTCGGGGTGTGCGATCTGTTTATGACCATTAGATTAAGGTATTTGCAATCCTATGATGCTATGGGAAGGGAAGGAAACAGGTCCGTGACATAGGAAGTGGTGAAGGAAGTGGTAAAGGCAAGCAGTCCGGACTGTGGGAACTGTTTGTGACGATTAGATTAAGGTATCTACAATCCTAAAATGCTATGGGAAGGGAGGAAAACAGGTCCGTGACGTAGGAAGTGGTGAAGGAAGTATAAAGGCGAGTTGTTTGGAGTGTGGAATCTGTTTATGACCAATAGATTAAGGTATTTGCAATCCAATAATGCTAAGGGAAGGGAGGGAACAGGTCCGTGACGTAGGAAGTGGTGAAGGAAGTAGTCAAGGTGAGCAGTCCGGAGTGTGGGAACTTTTTATGACAGTTAGATTAAGGTATCTGCAATCCTAAAATGCTATAGGAAGGGAGGGAAACAAGTCTGTGACGTAGGAAGAGGTGCAGGAGGTAAGGTGAGCAGTGTGGAGTGTGGTAAGTGGAAACCGTTTGTAGCAGTTATATTAATGTATCTGCAATGCTGAAATGCTATGAGAAGGGATGGAAGCATGCCCACGACATAGGAAATGGTGAAAAAAGTAGTAAAGGCTAGCAGTGCGGAGTGTGGGGAATGTTTTTGGCAATTAGATTAACGTATCTAAAATACTAAAATGCAATGATAAGTGATGAATACAGGTCCACGACATAGGAAGTGGCTTAGGAAGTACTAAAGTATGAACATAGTGTGAGAACCGTCTGTGGCAGTTAGATTAATGTATCTTCAATCCTAAAATGCTATGAGAAGGGAAGGAAACAGGCCCCAGGACATAGAAAGTGGTGAAGGAAGGCTGGCAGTGCAGAGTGGAGAAACCATTTGGGCAGATAGATAAATGATTCTGTAATACTTAAATGCTATGAGAAGGGAAGGAAACAGGTCTATGACAAAGGAAATGGTGAAGGAAGTTGTAAGGCTAGCAGTGCAGAGTGTGGGAACTGTTTTGGGCAATTACATTAATGTATCTGCAATCCTAAAATGCTATGGGAAGAGTGGGAAACAGGTCCAGGACGTAGGGGGTGGTGAAGGAAGTTGTAAAGGTGAGCAGTGTTGAGTGTGGGAATGGATTAATGTATCTACAATGCGAAAATGCTTTGGGAAGAGACGGTACGTTAAAATTATTACGAAGCGCGAATCGATACATATTTTTGATACATGCAATCGTACAATCGAAATTTTACAACTGAGTTGACAACAGCTGATTTTTACTCCATAGAGGCTAAAAACGATTTTTACTCCCTAAAGTGTAAAAATGCTACTTTAGACTCGCAACGCATGCATTAAAAACGACTGTTTTTACTGCAGTATGACAAAAACAATATAATAGCCTATGAACCCTTGATGACTCCGCTCAATTTTGTGGAGGCCTCTGCGAACGCCACCGAGTAATTTTTGTATTATATTCACTGGTTTCTGTTACAATAAAACACTTCAATGTTATAGAAGTTTAAAGTTGGTTATTACATACATTTACAGCTATTTTGTCTAGCTTTAAATATTTTATTGTTAGTAGGTATACAGGATGTCCACCTTAAGGTACGTTTACACTAGGATAATCCAGTAAATCCAGAAAACAAGTTTTTTTCAAAAAATGTTTTAGACAAAAGTTATGTATTTTTAATGATTCTGTGATCAAAATTGGTAGTTTACATTTAAAAAAGTCAACTTCCGGTCTGAAAAAGCCTCTTCTGGTGTGATTTTGGATTTGAAATTCTCACCATTTGGTAGACCGTGCTCAATTTATCTAGTTCTGTATTATTTTTTGTTTGTAAGAAAAGGTTTCCCTTGTTTTTTAAGGGGTGTACGGGTGGTTTTGGACACCCGGTATATACTAGCAGAGTACCCGCCCTTTGTACGGTGCACAATATGTACGGTGGAATTAATGGAATTAATGTTGGCATATCTATAAGTATAAAAGAGGATGTTTGTATATATATTTGTTTGTTTGTTTGTTTGGCAGTGATAAACTCAGACACCGCTGAACCGATTGCCACGAAACTTGGTACATACGTGTAGAATGTCATGGAATAGGTTTATACACCATCAATTTCGTGATTCGTCCAATCGGCTCCACCCCAGTGGCTCTGGAGTTTCCCATGTTAACCTTATGAGAAATGGAATTAATGAATCTTAACAGCCTGTTAAGATTAACAGCTGTTTCAATTAAACAAGATGGTTCTGTTCTATGATGTTCAATAGCATTAAAGTCACAAGGATTACCAACAGGGTGCAGCACTATTGTTTCTTTTACATTTATGACAACAGCTAATTTGCAACCAAAAGGTGAGTGAGCGTAGCGAACGAACTTCATCCTGGAGGCGAGTTAGCGTAGCGAACGAGCTAACCTGAAGGCAAGTGAGCGTAGCGAACGAGCTAACCTGAAGGCAAGTGAGCGCAGCGAACGAGCTCCAACCTAAAGGTGGGTGAGCGTAGCGAACGAACTTCAACCAGGACGTGATTGAGCCATGCGAACGAGATCATCTTGAAAATTAAGAAGTTAAACGGGGCAAAGCCCGCGGGGTTATAAATAGTCAAAGGCAAGACAACGTCTGCCGGGTTCAGCTAGTAAAGTATAAAATGCTCATATTACAGTTATACTCAAGCTTTGCGGTTGCAATGGGGGAGAACACAGTTTGATAACATTTGCTTCTTTAAATTTACGGTATACTATAGTATTAGCGAATTTCCCATATAGGGAATAAGCTATTACCGTAGTACTCATGGTAAGACCTGGACGCGGGACCGATTTTTTTTTTCATTTTGAGGTCCCTAGAGGTCAAAAACACCATCCGTTCAAATTCATATATATATATATATATATATATATATATATATATATATTTATATATATATATATATATATTTATATATTTATATATTTATATATATATATATATATATATGTGTGTCCGTTAGCACGATAACTCGAGCAAAAATGATCCGATTTTGATGAAATTTGGTACAAACGTGCAAACCTACGTTTATTCGAACGAGTTCGCGATCCAGCATGATCGGACCATGGGAACGGGGGTTTACGGGGGGTTTTATGGGGTAAAATTAGGTTTTTCCCATTTTTGACCCAAAAAACATAAAATTTAGCAATTTCTTTCCAAACCATTTTGTAGAGCTTAAAAAAACAAATAATTTAGTATATTGAAGCGTTATTATGCGCCTAATGGTTACGGAGAAAATTCCAAAAAATTGTAAATTTAAAATTCCTATGTTATTCTTATGGAGAATAAGTAAATTGTTGTAGTTTGCTTGTTTATGAACATATTTTGATCAAATTTGGAAAATGTTTTTATTTCTTACTAACTATTAACGTTTTACAAAAAAAAAAAACAGTTTTACCCTCCCTGATGCAGCAAACCTAAGTACTAGGTAGTTAAACTAATTCTATTTAAATAGAGAATAAATGTTATATTTTTAAGTAGACATTTCAGTGTAAATCCAATCAGTCAAATGGAAATTCGCTTAGTCTGCAGGTTTGCTGCGGCGGGGGTATTACACATCTACCATAGCCATGATGTTCTACCACTTCACCAAATTAATAGAGAAAAATAAATTATTAAAAATTCGCAAAATATCCCAAATTATTCATGAAATTAAAAACATAAACATAACTGTAAACAAACAATCCTACTTCGACAGTTTGTGTATCACAGTTTTTGGTTGCTGCTTTGTTCAAATTAGCTGTTTTTATAAATGCAAAAAAAAATAGTAGGCTACTGCACCCTGTTGGTAAGTCCTATAACTTTTTATTGCTTTTGCATATCATAGAACCAACTTTTTTAGTTGAAAGATCTGACTAGGCTAAATACTTTATTCCTTTTAAATATGAACTAGAGGACCCATGCTGCTCCGCAGTGTTAAAATAAATATAATATCCGAGAAATAATCTAATTCATGATTTTTGATTTGAATAATACAGTACCTTGATCAATATCTTAAATTAAAGCCTATAATTTACTGATTATTTTGAGTCTAAAACATATAAAAAAACCTGAACAATACTGGAGCTTTGATTGTTATACATAGAAATACCTTATGAAAAATAATTTTAATGTGTGTTGACCACCTTGCGTTTGCTTGAAAGTCGTCCGATTTGAAAAACTAATAGCTTAAATGAAAGCCTGTATTTCACTGAAGGATCTTAAGGTGGTGACACACTATCGATCTTTTCTCCGATCAAGACCCCAAACCGAGCCGGGAGAACGGAGAAGAAAGGTAAATATAAGCAAAATTTCAATCCGAACAAGACCAAGACCAGACAAGTTCTACCGAGCGCGGCAAAAGGGAGTTTAGAGGCAGATGTGGAGCTTGTGTGAGTGAGAGGGCGGTTAACATTGTCTCACTCTAATTACTTTTTCTCACTCCAGATTTGCAACGTGAATGCACAAAATAGTGAGCGCGTAACATGCAGACAAGGTCGTATCCGCGCGAAATACGTTGGCAGCACTGGCTGTAAATCAGCTGGTCACCTGTTGTACTGTTGTATCATTAAATATCATATTTAAAGTTCACTTCTGTGTAAAAACATGTCACGTTTCTTTACCAATTTATTTGTTTTATGGTAACTGTAGGACCAATATAATGTGCAACTCAAGTGCAAAGTGCAACTCGCCTATGGCTCGTGAGTAAGTATTTCTCTCGAGTGAGTCAATTGCTCCCTTTGCTCACTAGTTGCACAAATAACAATGTTAACATTGTCTCACTGATGAGCGAATTGGCCACTTTGCTTTCCCTAATCAGTGAGAGAACATGTACATTGTTAGGTAACTGTAGGAAAAGTCATTTATTTCTTAGCCTAACTTACTAAACTAGGGCCTATCAACATTTTACAGAAGAAAAAAAAAACTTTTTCACCCTCCTTATTGCAGCAAACCTAAGCAGGCCTACTCGTTAAACTAATTCTATTTAAATAGGGAAAATATGATATTTTTAAAGGAGACATTTTTAGTGTAACATCCAATCAGCCAAATGGAAATTCGCTTAGTTTGCAGGTTTGCTGCAGCGGGGGTATTTAGTGTTATTATGAAGGCAACATTTATGATTTTTTAATGCTCAATGCTCAGTGAACTCTATAGACAGTCTTAACTCTTATGCAGTAGGTTAATCCCAAGGCCAATTTACCGAATAGGCACGGTAGATATTATAGGCTAATCGTCTTTCGCGATTGCGGTCAAATTCTTATCACCCCTCGCAGCCGAGAAGACATCATTATATCGTCCCCTGCTGTCTTATGGAGATCATCATTATCTTCCGCAAATGAGGCCAAATTGTGATCTTTTTCTGCGGTCATTCAATTATCATCGTCTTGCATGATCGTGGCATAAATTGGCATAATTGTGATCATCCCTCGCGGCCGTCCAGAAATCATTATTGTATCTCCCGCGGTCCTGTATACATGTTAATCGTCTCCTGCGGTCGTGAAGAAGACATCGTAATCGTCTCCCACGATTGGGCAAAATCTTAATCATATCCCACAGTCATGTGGAGATCATCATCGTCTTCCACGATCTCTGCAAAATTCTTAATGTTTCCCGGGGTTGTGTGGACATTATCATTGTCTTACATTGTCTTTCGTGATCGCGGCAATATTCTGATCATACCTCATGGCTCTGTAGATATCATCTTCTGCGATCACGGAAAATTCTGATCATCCCTCGCGACCGTGTGTAGACATAGGCCTATTATCGTCTCCTGCAGTCACGGAAATGTCACTGTTGTCATGCGCGATCGCGGTAAATTAAAATTTTCAGGTGGGATTACAAAATTCACTCATGATTCTCGGTTAAAAAACTCACCAATAATTCCCAAATTTCGCAGATAGCCTATAATCGTGTCTTACGTATGATTACGGCAATATTCTGATCATACCTCGGACTCTGTAGATATCATCTTCATTTTCTGCGATCGCAGAAAATTCTGATCATCCCTCACAACCGTGTGTAGACATATTATCTCCCACAGTCACGGAAACTTTTTGTGAAGGGAAATTTTTTTTTGTTGTGTTGTCACGCCGGAGGAGGCGCATAAACAATTGGAATTAAACAATAGGATATTCAAAGGGGCAAGGTCCAAAGATTCAATACCCCTCCATATTGAACGAAAAGAAGGAGCAGTCGACTACGAGATCTAGGTAAATATTGCCGCCTTGGCGTTCTGCCGTTTATCTTCTTAGTTCTTTTAGGTAATCTATACGAACTTATTACACTGTTCATGGGCAATCGCGGTAAACTGAAAATTCTAGGTAGAAATACAAAAGTCACGCATAGTTCCCGGATATCCCGGTCGGTGGACAACCTGTTAACTTATAGCGTATATTGCAAAGGGGCGCTACTAGTAGTTGTGCCTAGGGCTCTACTAGTAGGTAGTAGTGGTGTCTAGGGCGCTGGCAGGTTCAAAGACGGACCTGGTTAATCCTTAGGTTAAATCAGGCCTTGACAATTTAAAGATTACAATTTTTTTCATCTCAGAGTTTGATGGCTGGCTTAATAAATTATAGGAAGAATTAAAGTTCACTTACCAATATTTAACCAGAGCAGCAACTTGCAAAGGATTCTGTTGATCAGGATAAATTCTTTTACATGCTAAATACAAAGATTCTAAGCCAGGTGGAGTAGGTGGAAGAAAATTTAAAGGTAGACCAGAAATGTTTCTGGCATGAATTTTCTCTCTTTCGGCCATTATAAGATAGTAAAATAAAAGTAATTGACTTATAAAAATAACTATATTTTTACCATTACGGTGAATCTACTTGTAACTTGAGTATTGAAATGGGTCAGTCAGTGTCTCAATTATTTACAAAAATAACAAAGGTATAAAAACAGAACAGACGAAAATGCAAATAGTAACAGTGTTACCAACAACAATGTTAGTAGAAGAAATTTAAGTTAGTTTTACCAGCCATTGTCCAAAGCATAGTACCAACAGCCAATAAATAAAGAAAGATTTTGGTGTGTATTTATTCTATGGTACATGTACCAATGCGATAATAAAGCCACGGCCACGGTTAAAGAAATACATTATACCATTTCTTCGTTTTTGACCGGTTTAGCTGGATTTTTTAACTGTGTCAGTTTCTTTTTTTTTATGTAAAAAATGTTCTTGTCAAATTTCAAAATTAAAAAATATGTACAAATAAGTCAACCCACTATCTTGGCGGGTGGGGTGGGGGGAGAGTCAGTTATTTACTAAATTATCCTCCTTGATGGAGAAATAGGCCGACTGAGTTAGTTGATCTTTTATTGTTTTCTAAAAATTTCCTGGTCTCGAGGTTTCTCAATCTTTTTGAACAGCTTCCAAGCCATTGCGGAAAAACGGCATTGTGTGCTTGTTATGCGGAATCTTGGTACATCTATCTTGGTACAGCGCGCTACGTGTAGTGTGGTGGTGGGAATCGATGGTTGTGAACTCACTTAGGTTCTTTTTTACGTGTACCAATGAGGATAGAGAATATACAATGAGTGGACTGTTAGGCCCGCCTAATCGCCTGAAGATGGGCTTGATAAGTTCACGCCAGGCACTAGATCGATTTAACTCGCATGGCCACCTTCTACAACCGCAGCACTGCCTCAAAGCTCAGGGAGTGACGCCAGAGCAGTATGCCTTAACTCAAATGGCTGTGGAAAAGGCGGTAGTAGATGGTAAAGAGAAACGATTTGAACAGGCTGTTTTTCAGTTTACAAAGTAGAGAAAGTATGCGTCGGAAGTTGAGAGTTTTTTGAGATCTCTTCAGTATGGGGCTGTCAATTAAGCCGTCTATCGATTAAAAAGCCAAGAAGTTTTACTTGAAGTACAATGTCAGAAGGCAAAGTTCTACCCAAGGTGCAGATGAGGGTTTGGGTCTTGTCCAGAGGTCAGTTCCAGGGCCATCTTTTCCTCAATTCGTGTCACCGAGCTTCCGCCTAATACAAGGTTAGTATCGTCTGCATACATGCGAGAGCCTCGTCACCTCACCTAAAATCGTTCACCATTAGCAGGAACAGGATAGGTTTAAGTAGTGAGCCTTCCGGGACACCGTGTTCAACCCTCTGATGAGTTCTCCTGAAAGAGCCCCCTCATTTCAATTGCAACCACCTGTCTTCGATTGCTAATAAGGTATGAAGAAAATGTATCAAGCACAGTACTCCCACTCCATGGGCTTCAATTTTGGTCAGTTGAACTTCGTATGACACCACGGGCCCTACTTTTGAAATGGTTGAGAGTTGAGTCAATCGTCAACACTCAGCTCAACCACGGCCACGGTATTTGTGTATTTACGAAAGATTGGTTACTGGACTATGACAATATTGACTCCACTTAAAATGAACAGATATAGATTTTTAATTCATATTGTTTCTGTTTTCAATTCTGTATGTTTTATTTTCAATATTTTCATAAATTTATATTTGAATCAATAAAGTGCGAATTAATGAGCTGATGCAAGGCCTCACTAAAAAAACAGTTTTTTTAGTGTGGCCTTGGCTGATGTCACCTGTCTGCCATGTTATCTTACGGGACGTCTGTCACTAAACAACACCACTTGCGACGTTACCAATTCTACCAGGCCGCGGTCTGTAGTTTTAAAGGCGGCCGTGTTCATTCTCAATCTCAATCATTGACTATTCAGATACAGTCCCTAATTGACAGTTTTTAGACAAGCCCATTCTTCTTCTTTACAAGAAGAAGAACCCGGTCGGTTCGGTGCAGGCTTACATAAAAAAAATTTTGATGGATAACTAAATTCACCACCAACACCAACCACCAACCAACCTTAAAAATCATTTCAGAAGTGTCGATATCTTTAATTTAGAATCCTATTTTGAAAAGTATAATGGAACCTTATGATTTAGTCGTAAACCAACCTGTTGTGATTGATAACGTGAGTAAAACCATTTTTAATTAATTCAATCATAGTCTAGCCCTACTGTGAAATAATGGTTATGTAGCACCTTTTAGCTTAAATTTGAAAGTTCGCTGTCTATCTTAACTTGGTTTTGATTTTAAAATCAGTTGTATGCAGCTTAAGACTACATTTTATCTTAAAAAAAACCCTTGGATATATTCTGAAGTCAGGATCATTCCTGTGAACTCCACCTCTCTTTGCCTTCATCTAACTTAGCCTCTGAGGGTAAAAATTTAGGACCCAGACCTCAGCTTAAAAACACTTTCTGAAGTGTGAAATTGTGTAAAAAGTGTATAAAATGAAGTTTTGGAGGATAATAATTGGGGTAAAAGCAATCTAGGCCTAGTCGCAAATAAGTTATTGGCTGGAATTTAATAAAACCGACCCTAACAACAGTTCCTCCTAAACTTCATTAAAAAACAATTTTACACAATTCTACACTTCAAGAATACTGGATTCTCTATATCGATGTGAAAAATTCACAAGGAATATGCACTCGACATAGGCCCCTAGCCTATAATTTACTGCTGTCTCACTCAAAGGTAACCAAAACCGGCACGCACGGAGAACACCATGTCTTTGGTCTAGCCAACCAGCAACTAGCCTCACAAGGAAAATTAAAATCACTTTGTCCAACATATAACTTACATATTGATAGGTAGGCCTATCCACATATTTCACCAGGAATCACCCCGTTTTCTAGGCTACATAATGTCCGAACGTGATTTTCCGACACAATCAGAATGAAAATTAATCACAAATTTGAGCTACGTCCTCCTTTGTCACTACTTCACTTTGAACTAACAACATGGAGACGGTTCAAAACAAACAACTATCAACGAAACCACCAGCCAATCAGATTACTACACGAAAGAAATCATCTGCCAATCAGAAATCTGCACAATTACATCATCTGTTGATCTGTTTTACCACAAACCACACACAATAGAAATGCAGTTGCAGTGACAGGCCACTGTACCACAATTACCCCTAGAATTCCCTCAATTTAACCTGAATTCCCTCTGTATTTCTCGTAAAATCCCGTTTTTAATAGTAAAATACTGCAGTTAAGATTTTGACATGTATAGATCTTATGAACATTCACTTGTTGAGAAAAAAAAAAATAATTGTTGATTATGAAATGAAACTGTTCTAAACTAACCAAACCAACCAAACTTGCTGTATAATTTCACGAGGAAAAAATAATGGTTCATTATGAAATGAATTAAAATTCATGATGTAGCCCCTGAACTGTTTAATTAGACTAATATGAGGTACATACTTTTACGTCAACAGTTCAATTTTGTCGTAAGTGGAACTCACTACATGTTTCGCCTATTCATCCTATATCACATAAACTCGCCGCTTAGGCCTACAATAGCCTAGTATACAGGTTACTTCAATTCCCGCTCTCAGCCAAAGACTACCAGAAAGAATTAAATATAATTAAGCACATAGCTATCTCCAATGGTTACAAACAGAGCATAATAGATAAATTGGTAACAAAACTAAAAACCAAACCAAAAGCTCCTGTACTAGGGCTAAATGAACCTGAGATGAAATACATCTGCACAGAATACAGCCACTTAGCTCAGAATGGACTCAACAAAGTTTTAAGGAAACACGGGCTTCAATTAACATTTAGAACTACCAATAAAACCAAACAAGCTTTAACACAAAAAAATGTTGTTGAAAACAAGCTAGACAAGTCTGGAGTTTATAAATTGAAGTGTATGGATTGTCCGGATTTTTATATTGGACAAACAGGCAGATCCTTTACTCAACGACACAAGGAACATCGCCCCAACCCCAGAGCAGACAAACAAAAATCCACTTTTCCCCAACATTTATTAGATAAAAATCACACCATAACAATTGACAATAGCCTGGAAATTCTCCATGTTTGTAATAAAGGAAATAAATTGGATTCTCTAGAAAAGTTTGAAATTTACAAAAGCTTCCAAGACAGCCACAATAAAAACCATATTTTAAATGACCAATTAAATTTAAAATCACACTCCATCTTCAATGCCATAATAGCTTTCAACAATAGACAAGAACAGTTTGACCTTTGTAGTACAACTACTGATAACGGAGGAGGGGTCGGTGTTACATAATTCCAGCATGTTCAGTCTGCCTCCGTACCGCGACCGGTAATAGTAGGCCTACTAATTAATTGTTAAATGTTTTCGTGCGTAATGTGTGTGTATTTATTTAAATGTTTCTTGACGACCCCATCATGGATGAAGACAAAGCATTCTTGCTAGGATATCATCTGACGATGCCTGAATAGGCGAAACATGTAGTGAGTTCCACTTACGACAAAATTGAACTGTTGACGTAAAGGTATGTAGGCTACCTCATATTAGGCCTACCGCACACGAGAGACTTTTTGTCGGCCGACTGTTGGCCATCTGTCTGGCTGGAGTCGGGTGGACAATCGAAAAGTCGTCAAGACTGTTTGGTCGTTGACTATGGGTGCGCACACGACACGACTGTTTAGTCGTCTTTCGAGTGTCAAAAGGATGTATATGACAGAAACCGCTGTCATATGTGCGTTACTGATAAGATTTCGTGGAAGAAAACTTAAGAGAATATACTGGGTGTATCCAATTTATAGTCCAAGAACCTTGAAAGGCCAGATTTACCTCTATCCTCGGATTTGAGGAAATATCCGGACAAATTTTTCCATGTACTCATGAATGAGTGTTGATTTTTTTTGACCAATTGTTAATACCCTGGCTTCAAATACCTCATCCCATAACTTTTAGGGAATAAGCTGTAACCGTAGGTCTCATGGTGAGACCTGGTCCTGGGACCGATTTACCTTTTCGGTTTGATGTCCGCAGAGGCCAAAAGCACCATCCGTTCAAATTCACACACACATATATATATTTGTCCATTAGCACGATAACTAGAAAAAAAATTACCCGATTTTGATTAAATTTGGTACAAACGTGTAAATCTACAGGTATTTTATTCGAATGAGTTCGCAAACCAGCATGACTATGGGAACGGGGGTTTATGGGGGGTTTATCGGGTAAAAATGGGGGTTTCCCATTTTGCAGAGCTAATTTTGCATAGCTAATTTTGCATCTAATTTTGCAGAGCTTGATAAACAAATAATTTAGCATGCTAATTGTTATCATAATGGTTACAGGGAAATTCCAAAATATTTAAAGTTAAAATTTGCATGTCATTTATATTTAGAACAAGTAAACTGTTGTAGTTTGCTTGTTTATGGATGTATTTTGATAAAACTTGGCAAATATATTTATTTTATACTCAGCTATTAATGTTTAACTAAAACACACCCTGAATACCCTCCATGTAGCAGTAAACCTTAGGTACTCGTTTATCCTAATTTTATTGAAATAGATTAAATAAAAAATTAAATCAGGCAAATGGGAATTCACTTAGTCTGCAGGTTTGCTGCAGCGGGGGTATTTTTTTTTATTATCACCGAATACTATTTCAAAGTCGTTTTATAAATAGGGGACCGTGTCTCAACTTCGTCGATAAGTTTATCAACTTTCTCGTCCCTCAAAACACTTGCACTGGTGGTTGTCGAAGCCATAATAATAACAATAACACACAAATAATAATACTTATCATAATAACAATAATAATACACATGATAACAACGCACTTGACTCTCAGACAGACAGACTTTTTAGTCGTCAGTGTGCGCGTTCAAACTTATCTCCGTGCCTTTATCAATAAGACACGACAGTTGAGTCGGGGAGCAGTCGGCGGGAAAATCGGTCAGCACCAAACTGCCCCGACTGTCTCCAGACAGTCTGCCGACTGTCTTGCTGCGGTCGGCCCGTGTGCGCGCTCAGATTTACCACTATGCGGCCGACTTTGACTCCCGACTACGACTAAATAGTCGGCCGACAAAAAGTCTCTCGTGTGCGGTAGGCCTTAGTCTATGAAATGAAACTGTTCCAAACTAACCAAACCAACCGAACTTGCTGTATGATTTCATGAGGAACAAATAATTATTGATTATGAAATGAAACTGTTCTAAACTAACCAAACCAACCAAACTTGCTGTATGATTTCACGAGGAAAAAATAATGGTTCATTATGAAATGAAACTGTTCCAAACTAACCAAACCAACCGAACTTGCTGTATGATTTCATGAGGAGATTATGAAATGAAACTGTTCTAAACTAACCAAACCAACCAAACTTGCTGTATGATTTCACGAGGAAAAAATAATGGTTCATTATGAAATGAAACTGTTCCAAACTAACCAAACCAACCGAACTTGCTGTATGATTTCATGAGGAACAAATAATTATTGATTATGAAATGAAACTGTTCTAAACTAACCAAACCAACCAAACTTGCTGTATGATTTCACGAGGAAAAAATAATGGTTCATTATGAAATGAAACTGTTCCAAACTAACCAAACCAGCCGAACTTGCTGTATGATTTCATGAGGAACAAATAATTATTGATTATGAAATGAAACTGTTCTAAACTAACCAAACTAACCAAATTTGCTGTATGATTTCCTGAGGAAAAAAATGGTTACCTAGATATACAACCAAACAGTAAAGTACAAACCATGAAACTAAATAACAAATAAGAGAACCCTGTTATAGCCTAAATCAGATAGTAGACACCAGTGCACCCAGTGTCACCGACATGAACTACTGTAAACACGATAACGACTTACAACTTGTGTGGGTTAATTCCATAGATATGTTTATTTAATTATTAATTCCATACTCCTTGAGGTGTTTGTTTTCTCTATGTATTCGTAACATGTGTCTGCAGAAATATCGATATAGATTCGGTTCGATATATCGTTTCAAAAATATTTTTATTTTCAATGTAAACAAACATGGAAATAGGTTATGATATGTTTATATGTTCTATTGGTGTTTTGAATGTAAAAATTCACTCACGATCAGTGTACGTTTTTAATGAACTTGAATAAATAAAACTATCAATATTCAAACAAAAGAAGACTGAAAACTTAACTTCACATTTTTAGAGGAAACTTAAGGATAGGCTATTCACACACAGGTGATAGATGTTAGGTACACCACTTGTTATTGACCTGTTTAAATATTTTTAAAGCCATTTTATGACTAAATACATAGGATAAAATAAACAAACAACTTTATTTTTACTTTGTTATTGTTTTTATTTATGGTAGCCTACAATACAATTCTCATGGTCTTCCTGTCTCTGCCGGCTTTGCTCGTCGTCGTCAGCGGCAAAGGAAAGTACCCATTTTTTAGACTAATTTCCCATTCTTGCTGGGTAATTACCTATAAATTACACTTTTACCCGTTGGATTACCCTTTTCTCTCCATAATTAACCACGTTTTACCTCCCCCACCCAAAACCCCGAATTCCCACCGGCCCCCTAGTGAGTTGGGAATATTGTTTATTTAATTAAAAATAAAAGGAGGTCTCGGCGCCTAAAAATTCTTTAATAAAGTTTTAGTATTGATGTCCTAGAATAGTTTAAAAGTGATTTTAGAACGTTTAAGCTGGGGTCTGGGTCCTAAATAAGTAACTATAACAAAACTGGCCCTTACAATACATATTTTATAATCATATTTTGTAAGAAATTCACTCAAGTTCACTTATAGCTAGTTAGGACGTAAAATATTCGTCTAACTGTCTTGGGGGTTCTGTCCTGTTGGTTTTTAGCAAATAAAATTACAAATGCCTATAATAAACCTTTTTAACAAAATTATTAAAGTCTGCTTTTAGTAGCCTAAGCTACTATGGTCCAAGGTACAACCTATGAGCTAGGTCCAAGGTACAACACCAGGCCATTTTGTAAAAACTTGGTTCCGTCAACCGGGGCTACTTTGTCTCGCGGGGCTACAATGATAAAACTTTTGTTTTTACCTAAAATATTTTTTTTTAATTTTAGTTTTAGTAGTAGGCCTAACCATGGTAACTTATATATATTAAAATCTTCCTTATAACATAGGTAATCTTATTTTCACCTTCACTAAAAAAATAGATATTCTTTGTTATCATAAAAAATATTTAAACATGAATCGATTTTTTCGCGAAAAAAAACGTCCCCGAACTTTCATATGCACCCTACCCACTTTTTTCCAATTTTTTTTGGCATATTTTAATGAATAGTCCATCTATCTGGGATGATAAAAATACATATAAATAAAATTAGAGTTTTGTCTGTACATTACTCAGAATTATATATTTTTAGGCTATTTTTACGTTTTATACCGGTACATTAAAGAAGCAGAAACAAGTCTTATCTATATTTCTGTCTGTCTGTCTGTCTGTCTTTCTGTCTGTCTGTAACACTCAAGATGGCATTTTACGCAATCTTCTCCATGAAAACGAGAGTACCTATCAAGATCCAAGTCATTTTAATGTATTCAATGGATTGGCAAGAGTGTCTATAGCCATTAAAATATGGCCTCACTTCTTTGTAAATAAAATTACGGACGTTAAAAAATGAAGTTTTGTGCGATTTTTGTCAAATTTTCGTTCAATTTTTATCACATACCTAATCATTTATTTATGAAATAACGAACAGCTGTTCGGATCAAGATTATTTTTTCTAGCTGTCACTGATATGTTTACAAATGTTTTTTACAAATACCGCAACCATTTCCAATCACGTTTTGAAAGCAAATCCCAACCAAGTGAAATTAAAAACGTTTTTCTTACATAACGGATTTAATTAATCGCAAGTGCAATATTATAGTGTAACCGTAAATAAAATTAAATAACTAGGCATCATCCAGGTCAGGAACCAGAAATTCTTTGTGTATAAAATTGTTCTTGAGTTTTGATAACCAGAAAGAAGACCTTGAATCAGTATTGTATAGGGCTGGGATACTTAATGATCGTCGTCAATAGCTTACAAACAAGGTTTCCAGTCATTGACGGCGCTTCAATGGCGATTGTGTTAAGTTTAAAGTAAAAATTCACAACTGCAGTGGGTGATTGTAACAGAGGTATACGGATGATGCTAAACTCGCTTTTCCAATGTGTCACTTTCTGTTTCTACTCACCGTGTGATGCAATCGCTGGACCATACAGCCAATAGGCCCATAGCCCATCCCTTGGGTACGTACGCCTACCTATTTATTCATAACAACCTTTTCGACGACGATCCTTGATACCGGTACTTTTCCATAGAATACATGGCCTACTTACTTAAGAAATAAAATTACAAATGTCCAAAAACCCAACATTGTGTGATTTTTGTCACATTCAAATGACTACTATAAGATCCCCGTGCGTAGAACGGGCACACAGCTAGTATTAATATAAATTGTTAAGTACCCTAAGGGGAAAAAAAAATTTTTCCCCCTAGACGCAGAAGAGGAGCGCGTAGGGCGGACAGCGGAGAAGTGATTAACATGGCATTCCGCTCCGCTACTAGGAAAACAGTAACATTAAATTACCTAAGACAAGAGGAGTCCACTCTCCGTGTTCCTCTCTCCGGGCTCCACTTACGCGACTAGGAAAACCTGGCTTATGCAACGATAGTGGAGTGGTTTGCTCAACTGTCATGCAGTTGTTTTCAATAATTATTTATACCAATCTAGTTTTCTTTCATTTCACAAATGAGAATAACTAGGACTGTTCCAAATTCAGGTCTGATCCCATCACCAATTTTGTTGTTTTCTTTGTCTAGGGATCTGGTGTAATCAAAGCTGGTTTTGCTGGTGATCAAGTTCCAAAATGCTGCTTTCCAAACTAGTAAGTATCAAAAAGTTCACGGTGGAGTTTAGTTGTGATTTTGCTTGATAAAAACAATAAGTAACAAATTTAGATAGGCCTAAAAGAGAGATGCTGGTGTAGCCTATAGTTTTGAGTCAAGAATGAACAAGTTTTTCTACGGGATTTTTATAAAACAAGTTCTTAGCATGCATCTAAAGCACAATTTTTCTGTAGGCTATTTTGAATTTGACTTGTAAAATTGTGTTGTGTTAAATGGAGATTCACTGGAGTTCAAATACTTTTAAAAATAAAAACATTGCTCCGTTTGTGTGTTATTAAATGTTATTCTTTTCTTTTACCTCTAAGTATATACCAATCAGGATTTTAAGGGGTAGAAGTATATTATCCGTTCAATTTAAAGGTTTTGTAAAATAGTAAATAATTAAGTTATGCGTTGAAATTTTGATCTCCAATTTAGTCTTTGGAGTCAAAATCATACAGCGCCAGTAAGATTTTTAAATCTATATAAACACTTTACAACAACTAGAGTCGTCTGAATTAACAAAAAAATACATTTATTGGGAGTGGGCGAGCGTTGTCGACTGAAATCTTAAACAAGCGATAAGCAGAAGCAGCTGCAACAATAAATGATAATGAGCTGATGAGCGATAAGGGATCCTGTCTAGTCCTGTCTGTCTCACGCACGCGCATACACACACATAAAATGCCTTATCGCCTATTCAAAACAATTTAAATCACTTTACTCCCTTAGTTTGTCCTTTGAGACTAGTGGTCACGTCAAGTTTTAGTTTTGGTGGAAATTGTCTTACTTTTGTGTTATTTTATTGCAATTCTGCAACTTACAGTACAAAAACAAAGCTGTAGTGAGTAATGTTGTATTCAATGATATGTTTGTGTTGTATTAATCGATATTGGATCCATTTGATCATCGTTCAGTTACTCATATAAATAGTTAGCTTGTGAGTACTAATGATCATTAGACTTTTATTGCAAGATTTTGCTCGTTAATAAAATCTCAAACTTGAAAGTCGTCAATGGTACTTTTCATGCTAGGACTTTAACATATTATAAAAACGAGAATGCCATAGGTACCAAAACCATTATAAAAATAAACATAAGTCATACTGTATTTTATATTTTATGGGTTTTTACGAAAAAAAAAAAACAAAATCTCTACAACCCAACAGTTGTGTTTTAGAGTTAATGAATCTTAATGTTAAAAAACCTAGTTCCAAGCCTATTTGAATTTTATTGGTGTTAAGTAGGCTAATTGAAAACAGAAAATGTTATGTATATAAGTTAATATACATTAAAACTATATACACATGAATGAGGTGGCTAAATCGTGGCAAACAAAAGATTTTAAAATTCAAATTAGTTTGATTTTTATTATTAGAAAAAGAGTTTTAAACCAAAATAAAATAATCACACCTATATTGTAGTAATATTTAAAAATCATACAAATCGACGGCAATAATCGATAATTTAAATACCTAGTAAACAAAAATATATCAATACTTCTAATCCAAATATATTATGGTAGCCTACCATGCTACCATACCAAATATGCCGTCACTGGTACAGAGCATTTGGGGGTATTCCATACCCCCCAAACTGAAATTCAGTTGGGGAGGACCCCCTCAGAACTGAAATCCTAGGGCCCCATTGGAAAATTTTCCCGGGGCCCCTGAAGTCCCAAGTCCGGCCCTGATTAACCATGACAAGGAATAAAAGAGGTCCAAGAACCGAGCCTTGCGGCACGCCAAAGGGTACAAGTCTTTTACATGAATACTTGAATTATTGACACAGACTATTTGTTCCCAGGTATCTAGGTATGAACTAAGAAGTGACAGAGTTGTATCAGTCACCTTGTAGTACTTTAACTTAGCCAGCATTGTCTCATGACAAACACAATCAAAGGCTTTACTGAGGTCACATACGGTGACACCAGTATCATTTCTGCTTTCAAGGTTGGCTAGGATTGCATCTACAAGATAGGTCACAGCTTGAATTGTAGATTTCCCAGTTCTGAAACCATAATGTGTAGTTGAAAACAAGTAATTAGCTTAAAAATAATTGTACAGCTGGTCATGTAAAATTTGTTCAAAAACTTTGGCAAAGACTGAAATTAAAGCTAATGGCCTATAACTAGCTGGGAGATCTCTGGACCCTTTCTTAAAAACAGGAACAACCTTAGATAACTTAAGCTTTGCTGGAAGAAATACACCTTCAATAAGACAACTATTTATACAATAGGATAAAGGCTATACAATCACAGGCAAAATAGACTTTAGCACATCACTAGAGACAGACCATAAATATCACGACTTTTAGAACTTTTTAGAAGCCGCACATGCCGCACTACCTCCTCACATTACACTAACTTCCATTCCAAGCCGGGTGCTGCAGTGCTCTTGGTTTTGAGAAGATCCACTGCAGCCGAAAGGAACGCCGCCAGATTTCTCCGCCACCTCCAACAACGAGTCAATGAAGACGTCGTTTGGTTCCACAGAAGTATTAGGTTGATGTTTACTTGAAGATTCTTTCCGAATGGCCTGTCAAGCTGCTCTACACTTGTTGTCGGATTTTTCAATGCAGTCGGCAACAAACTGTTTTTTTTTTCAGTCGTCAGTTCTTGTTTGTATATCTTTCTATATTCAGTTAGAGTTTGAAGAGATGCTGAGGTTTTAAGAACATTGTGGCGATCAAAAAGAGCCATGAGGATACTTCACTCTTCTTCAGGTCTTCATTGTACCAGGCTTTACCACCAGAGAACTGTCCACCGGAATTGCAATTTGGGTCCTGCTTCTTCTGCAGCGGAAAGCAGTCATGGAAACAAAGCAATATTTGGTGAAAAAATAAATTAAAAATTTCTTCAGAGTTTGTACCTAAGGCTAGTACAAACCAGTCAACATTGCTTAAAAACTGGCAGAAGTTATTTATTCGGGCTTCTGTTATGGGCCTATGGTGTACAAGGGAGTTGGACTGTTCAAGATAAGTTTTCTCAGAATCGGCTAGGCATATGTCTAAGTTAACTGCAGCATGGTCAGAAAGGACATAATCCATAACTGTAGTATTATAACTGGTATAATTGAGATCAGTCAAGATATTGTCGAGAACTGCTTTACCTCTTGTAGGCGTAGAGTTGATTGGATGTAAGTTGAACTGCCTCATAAGTCTTGCAAGCTCACGTTGGATCAGTTTGGTAAAATCAGCCACCAAATCTACATTGTAGTCCCCTCCGATGACAAGGGAAGACGATTTAAAACTTAAAAGGAGACATAATAACCTTTCAAACTGATTGAGGAAAATATTTATATCACCATTGGGTGATCTATACACATTGACTACAATGATATTGCATTTGAGTTTGATGGCAGAAACTTCCAAATGTTGAGTTGAGCAAAAACGAGCAACATCCATTACCTTATATTTTAGTCCTTTTTTATATAGATTGCTGATCCGCCATGCACCATATTGTCCCGCGCATTGTATGTGGCCAAATGATAATCTTTTAGTCTATAAAAGCCTATCTCTTCAGTGTTAAGCCAATGTTCGAATATACATAGGATATGATTTTTAATATCGCTCAAGACTACATCTAATTCTATGGTTTTGTCCCTTATAGACTAAATATTCAAAAACATTAAAAATAAAACAGTTTCAGAACTAATAATACTGGTACAGTTGACTAGGTTACTTACTTTGCTGGGCTCGGAAACCCTAAACAAACAGATTCTTCGAGACTTTTAGACTGTCCATAGTGTTTATTTTTACGATGCACAAAGTCAGCAATTAGTACTCCTTCAGGTCAAAATTCACTTGAGAGCACTTTCTGCTGATCTACACTGGATAGGCCTATTTTAAACGAGCGGTAAGATGTGTACCAGATTTTCAGTTCGTCACATTCCACGTTTGAGACACCATTCTCCTTAAGATAGTCTTTCATTGATTGGCAGGTTGTCTCAGGTGATAATCTAGAGATAAAAATCCAAGATGTTTTTGTAACCACTTTAAGGCTATAAGCAGAACTGGAGTCCTTAGTACCAATGATAACATTGTCTTGTCGTTTAGGCCTTGCACGATTGTCAAGAAGTAAAGGCTTAGGTTTACCAGCAGTCCTATTCCACTTCACAACGTCTGCATATCCCAATGTGAAGTGTTCAATGTTCTCGTTATCTGAGGTAGGCCTAGGCCTACGAGTATTTGAGTTGGATGCAGCATGAGTCATAGTACTATGAGAGTTTAAGTTACTGGTATTAGACTTAACTTGACAAATATCATTGGGGTTTGAGTCAGATCTAACAATTGTTTCAGTATTCGAATTGGCAGCATCAACAATCTTTTTACATGACTTAGACTTAGGCCATAGACTAACCAACACAAGTAGACTTCTCATCCCATTGTAAATTTTGAAGCACGTTTTTCGTGTCTAGTTCATGTACGTGACACAAAGGCACTAGTGTCGATAAAACTTTGTTTCTATTATTTTAGGGTTAATTTCTTGATTTGTGCTTTACTGTTTGGTTATATAACTAGGGGACAAGTTATTGTTTATGATTAGATCGTATTATTTGGTTAAACGAGGTTTTAAATGGCTGTAATAACGGGAAACAAATTGTAAACAAAACACGACCTCTACAGAAAAACGGACAGAACTAACAATAAAATTGGCTTCAGCTGTTCCATAAGGATGGGAAATCTACTAAGGGAGTATGTTTTATCTATGCTTAGGCCTAGTAGATCAAGTGTCAACATGAACAGTTCCTAGACCCAAGCACTCAGTGAGGTAGCTTTACTTTTTCCACGGTAACTGAATTTATTTGATCAGTCAATGTTTTATTTTCATTCTTCAATTCATTGATGATTCCCATTAATCTGTCCATATTTTTGTTTAGACTACACACGTCTTCCATTAAAGGCTGAGATTTCATGTTGATTCTAACACTATCATCACAGGGTTTACAAAACCAAACCACCTTACAATTTGTTGAAGTTCCGAAATTTTGTCATAGTCT